TACACTTAACAAAGAACACTTGAAGAAGTCAATAAGATCATCAATGGAAGTTGCAACTTTCGTTCCAATCAGATTGAGAATCACCGTTTCAATAAACATTCCACTTACATCTTGAACAAATCCACTGATCGTCTCGTCCATTTTAGAACATAACAAAGTTGTCAACTTTTGATAATCTTTCGGATCACACACTAAAATACTCTCACCAGATGAACATTTTCCAGCACGCCCAGCTCTTCCAATCATTTGCTTGTATCTTGACAATGTTAAGAAATGTTGGCCAACATAAGGCGACCGAATTATCACACGTCGTGCTGGTAAATTAACGCCAGCAGCTAAAGTGGAAGTACAACAAATGATGCAAATTATGTTACATCGATAAGCTTCTTCCAAATGTTTTCTTTCGTCGTTAGTCATTCCAGAATGATGATAAGCAATCCCAAATGGAATTGTTTTTGCAAGAATTGGACAAATGCGACCATTGGCGTCTGCTTTTATGTGTTCCATGAGTGTCGATTTCTCTTCCTTCTTCCATTCAATCAATTCTTGTGGCAGCAACTCAGTCAATAATTTGGCAACATTCTCGCAATTCTGTTTAGTGGCGCAGAAGATCAAACATGAAGATTTCGGAATGATTTCAAGAGAAAGTGCGGCAAGATGGTCAGGATCTCTCTTAAGCATTTGCCTTGTGTATTCTTTGCCAAAGTCATTTCTAGACACTTTGAAAGCATCTGATATATATCGAGTTTTCCCATCAACTGAAAAGATGTCTGATCCGATCTTGACGTACTCTTTAAGTTCGACTGGACGGAATTCTCTTGTGTAGACGTCAGCATTAAGAAATCGAGCAATTTCTTTAAGATTTGAAATTGTCGCTGACATGGCGATAATCTGAATGTGGGGTTGCTTATGAAAAACAGCTTTCGAGAGTAAAACTTCAAGATGATAGCCGCGCTTCTCATCGCCAAGCATATGCAATTCATCCACGACAATCATTCCAACTTCGTTCAATCGATTGTTCTCGTAGAGACTGTCGAACAAAATTTGACTCTTCTCAATGGTTGAAATGAAGATTGTGTTTTTCTTCCTTCGCTTTATTGGTGGAATTGATCCTTTTCCCGCACAATATTCCTCGAGAAGGAAGTCAAATTCAACAGCGAATGGCATCAGATCGTTGATTTTCTCTTGAACGATTGACACGTATGGAAGTACAAAAATTACGTTTCTTTTTCTTAGTAGAACTTCACGAATCATAGCAATTTCCGCCACCAAAGTCTTTCCTCCTGATGTTGGCAATGCGTAGATGAGATTTGATCTGTCGTGAATTGCACGCAATCCTAAACACTCTTCTTGCCATTCATAAAGTTTTTCAATGTTTTTCGTTTGCAAAATAAAAGCTTTTTGATGTTTTGTTAAACCAAAAAATGATCCCATCTCTCTAAATGCGAATGATGATACGGGAAGAAGTTTTTTGTATTTTGAAACTTGCTTTGGAGTTTTGTTCTTTGTTGCATGTTCGTTTTCATCATTAATTCCTTTACTTTGATTGCAATTCAATTCATTGGGTGAACTACCTGCTTCAGGGTTTCTTTGAAGTCTATTTTCAATGTATTGTGAGTTGGTTGTTGGGTTTGTGATGACATTGGAGTATTCATCATCATGTTCAAGCTCATTGAGACTTTCATTAGTTTGTGTCAATTCTAGATTATCAATTGCAATACATTTTAGAATATCTTGAGATGAGATTTCACTGCTTATACTAGTTTTTGACACTAAAGAAGATTCTTTGCTTCTTCGAGTTTCATCGGCATGTGAAATTCTTCTTTTACGTTTCCTAACAGACTGAGGTGTCTTGAAAATTGTTCCGTTATCATGCTCATTCGAAATGATTTCTTTCAATTTTCGCTTATTCGGATTATCTAATGGAGGATCTTAAATATTTAATCATCAATTAATAACAATCCTTTTTAGTAGCACAAGAAATTATGAAAATTTTAATAAATCCAAATACTTACCAATTTCATCAAAATTTATATCAAGTAGAATTGAGTTGTCTACGTTTAAGACTTGTGAGTACGAAGTTTTTTCTTTGGTTTTAATTTCTGTCATGATAACACATTAGTTTTTAATTTGAGGAATTGAAATTAAATTATTTTGAAAATACTTTTGAAAACAACAAACTTTTGTTTACATGAAGCGAAAGCAACAGAATAGGAAGCGAATGGGAAGCGAAATCCATTGATCAATTCAATGCACATTGTGCGCATTCATCTCGGATCAAAAGTTTTCAAAGTTTTGTAGAAATCTATCAACGAATAACAGCTTAAATTTTTTTCAGAGAATATAAAAGAACAATTTGTTACTTTCCTTTCTTCTGCGCAAAAAATATAAAAATAATTGAATTTTTTATTTCATCTTCATTCATTCGACTTTTTTAACATTTCCAATACTCTAATATTACATAGAAAACTACATAAACCGTTATTTTTGTTTACAAGCTTTAAAATGAAATATTTTAGTTTTGTTAAAAATATTTATATACAGAACATTATGTGTTGTATGCTTTTTATCATGTAAATACATATTTCCTTCTCATTTCCACATTGTTGAATCCTTTTTCATGTAAGTAAGTATTTTTAAATCTATAGATCATTCTCTGGTCCGTTCGAGGTAAATAGTTAGTTTTAAAGTCTCTAGAATTTAACAGAGACTTAAATTTATGGATAAATGTAATAGATATTTCTTTTTAAAATGAAGAATATTCCTATCACTTCTGAACATCATTTTGTACCATCCTTAATTAAATAAACCATATCGTGTTCTTTTCAATGTTCTTCTTCGTTATGGCACTCTATAAATTAAGCTTTTCTGTTTTAAAAGTTTTGAGAGGAAAATGGACCAGTAATGGTCAGTTTTTAAAGCGTAGCAAATCATAAAATATTGTGTTTACACATAAGGATGCTTATAAAAATATATTTTATGTGAATATTTATGCACATAACTCTTTTATTTCTCTTTGCCCATTTCAAACATAAAAACAATAACTTTTTAGTTCAATCACATCAATCACCTTAAAGATTAATTTTTTTCTTTTTTTTTTGGAAAATTAATATAATTTTGTAAGTGGAGAGGCGCTCAAAGGATACGAAGAAAAGAAAAATAAAAATTTTATGCAAAAAACAAATCACAGCTACAAAATAAAGAAAGTAAGAATTCGTTTTCGTGTCACTTTCTCGCATTTAGGTATGAAGTTTACAACTACTAGCGAAAAATAATGAGCTTGAGCTCGTTTAGTAGATAAATAAAGTAATTGATGACATTTCTTGAAATATTTAACATTTTTCTTCAGAATAAATATCTATATAAGTTTATAAAGTCTAAATTCTGATGTTTTAACTTGTGACAATTTCACAACTTTAACACTTAATTAGCCACGATTTTTATTTTTATTTCTCTTTTATTTGTACCGAATACGAGTAATGTGTTCGTACATTAATAGGTATCTTGCTTCTATTAGTAGAATCAAAACGACATTAGATTGGGTGAAATTAATAATTTTTCTCTTTTTTTCCTTCTTCCTTTATCTTCATTGTTAATAATCATTACATTGTAATTACAAATGAATGAGTCGTAATCTCAATAAAAATGCTTCTTTTTATGGCCCATCATTGTCCTCTCCATGCATTCAATACAAACAACAAATCTTTTATAATTTATGTTATTTTGAGCCATGGTTAAATTATTATTTCAAGAATATTAATATTATGCAAAGAATTCATTAAACTTATAAATTGAAATGTAATAATATCAAAGTAAATTAATCACTTACAAACTTACACAAATTTCGATCTTTCTTATGCGTAAGTCATACTCGTGATTATTTTACATGTTGTTATTACTCTTAAAATCAAAAGTTCACTGGATAATGGCTACATTCATCATAATTTTATGTAGATAATTGATGTTCCTTCTACATACATAAATTGTAAATGTTTCATCATAAAATATTTTCATCAACTTACGTTGCAACTCTCAGGTAACTGTTACTATTGTTTTACTTTCGTTAGTGCTCTGAATATTACTTATTTCTTGAACTTTACCTTACTACGATTATATAAAAGTCTCGTTATGATTATATATGTACATAAATTTGAAATTTCTTAACAAAATAAAAAACTTTCCTCTTTCGTTTCTCCACGAAACATTTCCATATCATCATCATCATAAAAATAATGGTTACGACCTCTTAAAATATCAAATAAAAAAACAACGGCGTAAAATTCTTTAACTTTTGTATCAAAAACTTTTCTTTTTTCTTTCTCATCCGAAATATCTTAAATTTCACAAAAATCTTAGCACACTTTTAGGTTTTATCAAAGAATTAAAAATCAAGCAAATTTTTATGAAATTTTATCAATTGAACACACTCACATATCATGTCTTGATATCATCAATTCTTTTCTGATGAATAATAATTTTTTTTTGGTTTTCATTTTTGACTTTTTGTTATTCTAATATTCCTCCAAACCACCTGTTGGATTACCAGCTTTCATTCGATCCAGCACTCGATTGACATATTCAGTCGAATTCTCAGCTATCTTCACTGCTGCAATAATTAAATTAAACATGATTGATTATGTGTTTAAAGACAGAATGGTTAAAAGTTATTTACTTGTCGATTCCACAACAACTTGCTCCATTCTCTGATTGATTTCTTCTTGAGTGTCATGACTGCTGCTACATTTCAATGCTAGTAATTGTTTCATTTGATGAATTCCATTCAAGAGGGATTCTAAGTTATTTAAATTTCATTAATTATAAGTTAATTCATCATGATGATGTTCATCGACTTACTATGTTCCTTCTCCAATCCAAATAACTTAATTTTATTAGCTTCGTGTTGAGCTTTCTTCTTCAAACGACAAGCTCTTGACGCCAACTTATTCTTCTCCTTGCGTGTTTTAGGACGAACATTGAAAGGTAATTCGCTCACTGGTGTCATGTCATTAATAACCCGTCCCAACTTATCAAGTTCCTTTCCAATAGCATTTAACTTTTTAGGATTGGGAGTGAGATCGTTTCCATCTCCTTTGCGGGCCTTTCCGCTATGCTTTATTTGAATGGACTTGAGTGATTATTGAAGAAAATAGAATAGATTTGTTTAAATATATTTCGATGGATCATTGCAATCCAAATTTATAATTACAACTCTAAATACTTAAAACTTCAGAACGAAATGATAAAATATTGGAAACAAGATCCGATAATTCAACAATGATTTGTTACTCACTTTTATTCCACGCACAGAACAATTAGGACTGAACACAGGATCTGTGACTTCATTCAAATGATGTGGATCTTCAGCTTGCGTTTTGATGACTAATCGTTGACCTTTTGGACCTTTCGCTTGAACATTATATTGCCAAAAGAAACGAGCATTCTTCTTGCTGCTAGAGAAATTCGATGATTTTTGGTTGTTGTTACTGTCATTCGATGACATACTTCTAAGCTGGTCTTTGTTGTCATCTCCGTCAGAGTCTATGAAAAATAAAATTTGATGTTAATTAATGAAATGAATTTCCGAGTTTTTTCTATCAACTCACCTGAACTGAAGTCTTCATAATGATCGCTGTCGTCGTCATCCGAGTAAGCTTCATCCTGAGAGAAATCAATGTTTTCAGGACTTAAAATTTCTCCACTAAGTGACGATGTTGATCCATGACCTTCAGCCAAACTTCCAGTCGATAACAAATGAGGTCGTGGCTCACGTCGTTGCCAAATTTGTTCGAGTCCCAAATGTGTGGGAGCAGATGAAGAAAGTCTCGACACAAATCCACCACCTTGCATGTTCAAGCGTCTTGTTGGCAGTCCCGATGGTGACACTGCCGATGTATGAGTAACAAGTTGACTTGGAGATGAAGCAACAGCGTGTTGAATCTTTCCCATCATTGACTTCTCAGCACTTGTTGGATCTTTCTTCATGAGAAGTGAATGAAGTGTTGAATATTTGGGATTATGTTGGACAAGTCCGGATGAGCGTCCACTTCTCGATTGTCTGACACGTGATGTCGTGAATGATTTCTGTGAATGAGGTGGACTAAGCGATGAATTTAATGCAATTGATGATGTTGAAGTGGAACTATGACTTTGACTTCCTGGTGAAAATGCTGTCATTGTTGTAGTTGTGCTAGTTGGAGCGTTACGCAAATGATTTGAAATTGAAAGCGTGTTAGGTGGCGAATAAACATTAAATGAAGAATTGTTGCTGGATGGATCGTCGTAGAAGATCAATTGTCCACCATTTGTTTGAAAAGACGGTATCGGGGTGTTGTGGGGTGTTTGTGGTATCGTAATATTCTGATATTGATTTGGAGAAAGCTGCTCTGCTTGTGACGACTCATTAATGGCATTTTGAAGGCTTTGGAAATTAACAGCTGTGAGTTGTGTCAAATTTTGCATGTTCGATTGTTGCAAGTACTGATTTGAATCAACAGCAAGAATGTCGTCAATATTCAACAAATCAACATATAAATTATCACCATTCAGTTCAGCTAATGTCGGACCTTGAATCAGATCAGATTTATCAACTTGAAAAATGTCATCTTCGTCCATATGGAACGGTCCAGACTTGTCGCTTAACCCTCCCATTGTGTTGGTATCAGATGCTGTGTTCATCATGGGACTTACTCCGTCCCACATTAAATTGCTTCCACTACCCCCGGAGAATGAATTCTGCTGGAATCCAAATGTGCTGCCGTCTGTGTAATTAATGACCATCGGAGTTTGGTTGTTTTGTTTCGGATTTTCGCTTATTGTACTAAGCGGCGATTTTGAATTTTCAAACTCAAAAATAACATCAGAAAAATCATTCGTTGTACGATTGTTATTATTGCTCATATTGCAATTTGATGTGACATTACGGGTTGGAATTGGCATTGATGCAGTTGTTAACAAAGGGTTGTTTATTGACGAATCCATTTTATCAGAAATTGAATTTGAATTACTAGCTAAAGGTGTGGGCGGTGATAAAGCGCCGGATGATGGCGGTGATAACTCAAAAAGTGGCGATGATGCTTCAAACTTAAGAAAACTATTTGATGAAGAATTGCAATCATAAAAGTCGAAGAGTGAGTTACTATCGGTCATGCCCAAGCCGAACGATGATTAAGAAAATTCTTTAAGTAGTTGCTGTTGTTATTTATTATCTTCTTTTTATATTTTTAAATAAGCGTGAATTTGTTTACTTCTTTTTTCCACGAAATTGTTTATATTGAAAATCCCTGAAATGAAAAAAAAAGGTAGGAATGAATTTTTTTGTAAGAAAACAAACACAGTCATATGACTCTCTTCGAATAAATGAGTTGGTGACGATGTTTGCTGGTTTCTAGATTTGTATTTTCTCTTCTATTTTATTTTCTGTTATGTCAAATGACGTAGCAATACTAGGAATTTCAATTTGTTATTCTGCTTATAGTATAAGTAGTAAACAAGCCCCTGAAATGTTTCATTCATTTTAGAGCTTTTTATCAGCATATTGTGGTTCGTTAAAGCTATTAAATATTCTGTTATTTCCTCTGAGCTTCCATAAATAAACAGACATTCAGTATTAAAAATTCTTACATAAGATTTGATAAATTTAGCAAATTCCTAGGATTCTTGATTTCTTTTCTTGAGCTTTTTCGTTACTCTTGCTTGAACATTAAAGAAATTACTGGTCGGAAAGCAAATTCACAGCACTAATATTATCTCATTTTTTCAACCTTATAAGCCAGCTGGGAAATAAAAGTTGTTTTGATATTCGGTTTCAAGGTTATTCCAATGTTTTCAGTGTGTGAACTTTTCTTTCTCTGTATACCGTTTCATTCTCTCAAAGTTCTCTGCGCTTGTTTTCAAATCAATCGATGACGACAATTGTGGCGCTTGGCGGATGAGGAAAATATAAACAACAATTGCGAAATTTGATTATTCACTTGTTTATAAATCGATAACATAGACTTGACCCTCCCCCAATATTGAATTGAATAAAATTATATTTTTTATCAACACTTGAGTAACTCAACGTTTATCTTGTTTCATCGACAAAATTTATTAAATTCTTTTGTGAACATCAGACGAAAATTTGAGTTCATTCATACTTTATATTCACTACTACATTTTTAAGCTGAACAAGTTATTTATTTATCAAAAGAAAAAATTGAGAAAAACGTGTTGTTTATATTTTCGTACGGAAGTTGCGAGAATCCTTCGCAATTTTCTTCCTGATATCAATTTTCAGACTCTCTGACCGTTTACTGATAAGAAGTAGAATCAAAAAATGCCACTAACAAGTATGAATATAATTTTAGAATGAAATGATAACACGAAACTGTTTTGGTACTTCTACGTGAAGGACCTTATTAAACAATACGCGAACAATTTTCCCACGCACTTTCAATTGACAAGCATAAATCAAATTTAGAAAATTTAATAAACAATTGTATTATAAAAGCATGAATTAAAAGTGAAAGATTAAAAACTCGTATTTGCCATTATTATTAGATTATTATGAATTCATATATGCAATCTATTTAATAACAAATATAGTTGTTTACATATTAAACTAACAAAGTATTTGAAAAAGCACAACACGAGCTTCTAACAATATAATTTAAATTTAATACAAAAATCAATTTTACGACACTTTGGTCCTGAGTTTGAATCCTAAGCATGACTATTAGGTAACATAAAGTTTACATAATTCGGCTTGTCACAAAGTGAGACGCACATACACTCATAAATTTGTATATTGAGACAGTTTTTTCGCCATTATATATCTCAAATAATATTATTGTTCTTTTTTAAGAATTTAATTTCCTACTTTTAGATATTTTAATAATAAGAATAAAAGGATACTTACTATTTTAAGTGTAACAAATTAGATTTCAGCTTAATCCACTATTTTAAGCTTTTAATTATATTGTATGTAGAAAAATAAGTATTTACACAGATAAATAGTTTTAAACAGTTTATAGTTTCAACAAAAAATAGATTTTTTCCCTAAGTATAGGAGAATTTATGAAAAAAAAAACAAAAACAAAAATAATCAACAAAGTGATTTTTTTCTCTCTTTTCAAGTCTTTGCACAATTTTTTGTAAATAAAATGTGTTTTCTTCCCAAAATTTTATTTCACTTTTTACAGTTCTCAATATTCTTGATTGACTTTTGAAATATAACAAAACTGTTAAACTTTACGCTTTTAAGAGTTATTAACACTTTTTGTCCAATTTCTACAAGGGTTGCACGTCTAATATTTAAAATTTACGTATGTTCAATTTTTCTGCCATTGTTGTTTTGGTTTTTCTTTGTTCGTGTTATAACAGCTTTTTATAACAGTAGAACATTCCATAAGTGATGTCTCTGTATTTCAAACATTCACAAATACTGAATTGAGTGGAATTATTTGACACATAATTACAGTGTTTAATTTCACAAAATTAATGTTATTGACTATGTCAGAAGAATTTGTATCATCTGATGTGAGAATATTTTTATATTCGTAAATGTAGCTTTGTATGAAGTTTACAGATCTGTCATAGTTGTAGTCCCCGGGGACTTTGCATGGAAGGTCGAATCCACGAAATCATACTAATTGTTGCTTTGCATGAAATCCGTGGATTTATCTTAATATCTAAATATTGTGTATACTTATAAAATAAACAAAGAAATAATTTTGGAGCTAAATACTTAAACTTTTTTGGCATTATACTTATGGATGAAACGATTGCGGATATTATACTTGAGCCAGATAATTTACTTACCAAAGTAATACGATATGGTAAATCTTCTCAAATAACTCAAACCGACAGTGCCATAATAAAAACTTCTTTTAAATAATATTAGGCTTATATTTCGGAGCATTATTTCAAATTGTTTGTATTGGAGCTGTAATTTTCATCACGGATACTTCAAAGAATCCTCCAGATTACTCAGATACTGAATCTGAAGCTTCTCCACAGCTAACCCCTAAACGATCTCACCACCGAAGTCGGAGGACAGAAAGAAAGAAAAAGCGATAAATGTCTGGTCAAAAAATCAAATTTTTCTTTATTTAAGGATCTGATTGATATTAAAAATATGAATTAGATAGGTATATTTATTTTAAAATTCCATGTGTAATAATAACTTTTTGTTTTTAGTTTTAATCTGACATCAAATTTTTATTTTTTGATTTTCGTGCGTGAATAAATTCCTAGAAAATATTATTCAGGAGAAATATAAAAGCTTGTTTTATATATGAGATAAGATTACTAGGTAGTTTTCCTCATGAAGACACATTTGAAAAAGTTTCACTTAAAAGTAATTTTAATAATCTGCTTTGAAATGCTAAACTTGTAAAGCATTTACAATTCAGTAGATTTAAATTCTGGAAGTAAATTCCACCAGAAATTCTTGCCAACTCCCTGAATTTCAGGATCTTTCAACTCAATTTTAAGCATGCCTAATATTGGAGAGCCAATAACTTTTTGGGTCGCAACAGTTACTTCCAATGAGCTTGAATACAATTCAGCTGTAGAAATTAAGTATTCAAAAGTTTGATCGAAAACAGGGTTGCAATTATCTTTGATCACGTTCGTCTTCCTCTTCGAATCCTTTGAGCGACCAGGCAATAAATACAACTTCACATAAGGATCAGGGATGTTGTTAGGATCCTTTAATGGGATATTTCTGATCTTATGAACTATGACTATCAATCGCTGACGTTGAACGGAATATTGAACAGTTAAATTGATGGCACCAAGAGAACCAGCTTCGCCATCGAATGATTTGATTGATGGATTGCGTTCAAAGGATGAGGTTGACAAATCAGATGTTTTTGAAGCAGTTGGTGACGGTGGGGCAGCAGAAAGATTTGCTGAAACAGAAGAACTTTCTATTGGTTCTTCAATGACTGCATCATTCACTGTGCTTCGAGAGACTCTTGAATCTTGTTTCTTAAGTGGAGATTTCGACGGATCTTCTTTTGCAACAACATCACCAATCATCTCTTCATCTTCGTCATCAGGAATTGGTTCAGATCTTTTTAAGATTCTTAGTTGTAACGTCATAATTAATTTTGATTCAGGTCCACTCTTCTGAATTTGGAAAGGTTGATTTATTATTTCCATATTTTTTTTATCCAACAACGTAGCAATGATGTAAGATAATTTTCCGATTTCGTTTTGTGTTTTGTTATCGACAACTTTCATTTGCAATGTATCGTTTTCAGGATTTGCAACCAGGAAAGTGTAGCCTTGTTCCCAGACTGGTGCATCGGTTCTCATCTGAACAGCAGTTTGTTCTGTTTTTTTGCCAACAGAAAGGACAATGTATGGGTCTGGATTACTTTGCTGTCGAGCATGCTGTTAAATGTACAATTCGAATGAAAAGGAAATCTCGAAATAAACTTCAAAACTTTTACCGGTAAGTTCTTTGCAGAATCTATGAAAACTGTTAACAATGCCGTACTCATGTCAGTAACCCGAAGCATTTGTGTTTCTGCCAAAGCAGCTTTCAAATCACTTTTATCAGTGCTCAACTGCATCCACGTCAATCGCAAGTGAACCATTCCATGCTTGGCTTGTTCAAGTGTCAGCCAGGTATCAACTTCGCTTTTTCGAACGACGGTTGAAATTTCCACAGTCGCCCTAAATTTATTAAATTTTATAAGATTAAACGATTTCATGTCATCATTTGTTCAAAGCTATTCTATCATTAGTAGTTTTGTAAATAAATAAAGCTTGTTATTAAACTCTCAAACATGTAATTGTCATCATAATTATTATGGTAAAAAAGGAAATGTTTGAGAAAAACTTTCTTCACGAAAATTAATAACAAAATGGCACAAAACCAACAAAAGCTTAAAATAATTTTACGTACAAATGGCAGCATGAAATCAATTTGTTTGTATGTAATTATTTAAATGAACAAATGAACAAATTAAGCAGATATTAAGATAGAGAAATTGTCTGTGATTTTCGAAAAAAGAACTTATATTGAGTGAAACGTATGAAGGATTATCATTTAGTGTTCATTATCTAACCTTCCTAAATTGTCGTGTTCACCAGTTCTGTCCCAGTCAAATAATTTTACAATAATAAGTGTGTTTTGCAAAATATCGACACAAGCCTGATGGTTCAATGTACAGGAATAGAACAATAAAATTTCAAAATATTATTTTAAATAAAATGTCCTTTCTGTTAGTTCATCAAACGTCACGTTCCACGATGTTCTGTACTTTATCTGTCTTATCATATTCTTATGCGACCCAATTTCAATTATTATTCAATAAAATTGTGATAACTCACCACATAAATATACTCTCTCTCTCATTAGTCTCTCATTATTGTTTTCTCTTACTCTCACCTTTCCCCATCGTGGTTCAGTAGTTTGTGAACCACGAAACAAGTAACATTAATAAAGCATTATATTACAGGTGAGAGTAGTTTGTGAACCACGAAACAAGTAACATTAATAAAGCATTATATTACAGAACCCATTGCGTTTATTGATCACTTCGAGTTCACAACAGTGGCGACGAGGATTTAAAATAAAGAAAAAAATTTAATTCGGGGAAATAACATAACCTCAAAAATGGACATTAATGCATTGGAAAAACTTTTGAAAAGTCAAAGCATGCAGATGGAAATGCTCTTGCAAAAACAGGAAGAGCGGCATCGAATAGAAATGCAAGAGTTGTTAAATGCGGTACACCATCAAAATGTTCCCGATTTAAATGTGCAAGCAAATAATTCACCTACTCGAAAAATTAAAGATTTAGCAGATTCGATGGTTGATTTTACATATGATCCTGAGAATAATGGAATATTTGAAACATGGTATGCACGCTATAGATCGATTTTCACAACAGAGGCTAACGATTTGTCGGAAGCTATGAAGATTCGTCTGTTATTAATGAAGTTTCAACAATCGGATTATCAACGTTACGCCGATTCAATTCTTCCTCAAGAACCTCACGAGCTAACATTAGTTGAGACTTCGATTAAATTAAAGAAACTTTTCGGATATAAGGAGACAAAATTTTCACAGCGTCACAAATGTTTCAATTTAACAAAAGAAGATTCCGAAGATTTTATAACTTATTCAGCACGGGTTAATAAGCAAGCCGAGAAATTTGATATCGTTAACTGTACCCCAAACGATTTAAAAGTTCTTCTTTTTGTAAGTGGCTTGAAAAGTTCGAAAGATTCACTTATTCTCGAAAAGCTTTTGAATAAAATCGACACGCAGTACGTTCAAATTGAAGCAGCCGCTAATCAAGCCGCTCGGGATGCAATTGTTAAATTAACCTTACAAGACTTGATTAATGAAGCTGAGCGAATAATTTGTCTTAAAAAGGATAAATCAACTGTTAGCGACTCAGCAACAATAACAGATGTCAATAACGTTTACACCGATGGAAAAAAATCTTCAAATAAATCGAAGTCTTCTACAAATTCATCGGGAAAATCAAATCATTTTTCTAACGCAAATTCTTCAAAACCATCGAGTCCAGCCGGTCCATTCTATCCTTGTAGATATTGCGGAGGCTTGCATTGGAATAAAGATTGCGATTATCGTGATAAAACTTGCTCAACGTGTAAAAAAGAAGGTCATAAAGAAGGCTACTGTAATTTTTTAAAGAAAACACGTCAGCGAGTAAATACAAATCACGTTACAGAAAAGGACAACATAAGTAAAAATAGAAAATTTGTTCTTCCAAATATCAACGGTGCACCAATTAAACTTCTTCTCGATACGGGCTCCGATATAACAATTATTAGCCGTTCAAATTGGGCAACACTTGGCAAACCTACTCTTCAAAATAATGACAAACGAGCAGGAAGTGCTTCAGGCGATCAAGTCCCTCTACTCGGTTCTTTTCCTTGCGTTGTGAAATTCAATAACAAAGAAGCATATGTTGACTGTTACGTATCACCACTTCAATTAAATCTTTTCGGCATCGATTGGATTTCTTCGTTGGATTTATGGTCGCAACCGATTCAACACTTCTGCAATAAAATTGAGGCAAGCAATCTCAGCAACTTGACTCAAGAAATAATAAAGAAATTTCCTCGCCTTTTTTCCGACGGTCTCGGTTGTTGCACAAAAATTAAGGCAGAATTAAACCTTAAAGCAGAAGCAAAACCAATATTTCGCAAGGCTCGCCCAGTTCCGTTCAAGGCAGCAGATGAAATATCAACAGAGTTAGAACGGTTGCAAAATCAAGGTGTAATTACACCAATCGATTACTCCGATTCAGCAGCTCCAATTGTCGTGGTCAAGAAGAAAAACGGAAAAATTCGGATATGTGCAGATTATTCTACTGGTCTCAATGATAATTTAGAACCAAACAAATATCCATTACCAACTCCGGAACAAATCTTCACACGATTAGCAGGAAAAAGAATATTTAGCAAAATTGATTTGTCTGATGCTTTCCATCAAATACCGGTTGACTGTAACGCTCAGATGTTAATGACTATTAACACTCATCGCGGTTTATTCAAAGTTAATCGACTTCAACAAGGAATAAAAACAGCACCAGGCATTTTTCAACAAATAATCGACACAATGTTAAGCGGAGTAAATACTTTTGGTTTCATCGATGACATGATTGTAGCCGGTAAAAACGAAGAAGATCACAAAATACAACTTTTTGAAACTCTCGAAAGAATCCAGCAATACGGTTTCAAACTTCGTGTAGATAAATGTGAATTTGGTAAAGAAGAAGTCGAATTTTGTGGTCACATAATCAGTAACATTGGTATTCGTCCACATCCTGACAAATTACAAAGCATTCAGGACTTACCGCAACCAGTCGACATTTCACAATTAAGATCATTCTTGGGAGCAATAAATTACTACGGCAAATTTGTTAAAGGAATGAAAGAAATACGAGGACCATTGGATAATTTGCTTCGAAAAGATACAAAATTTGATTGGAAAAGTGAACATGCCAAAGCTTTCATCGAGTTAAAGAACATTCTTTCTTCAAATTTAGTACTGACTCATTACGATCATGAGAAAAAAATTATCCTTGCAACAGACGCATCAAGTTATGGAATGGGAGCTTCATTACTGCATGAATTTCCAGATAAAACGCTTCATCCAATCATGCACTGGTCTGGATCATTTAATTCGGCGGAGAAGGACTACGCACAAGGACATAAAGAAGCCAGAGCTTTAGTTTTCGGTTTAAAAAAGGCACATCCTTACATCTACGGTAGACATTTCGAAGTTCATATCGACCATAAACCTCTTCTTGCTATATTTGGATCAAGAAATGGAATTCCAATGTACACCGCAGCTCGGCTTCAAAGATATGCAATTATTCTCATGGCATATGATTTCAATATCAAATATATTAGCACTGAAAGCTTCGGTTACGCGGACATGATATCAAGACTTATAAAAGCTCAAAATTATCTACATGAGGACCAAGTAATAGCAAATGTCAGCATTCAAAACGATTTCAACGAAGAAAATCTACATTGTTTTGCTATAAATACTGCCAAAAGCCTTCCAATAACATTTCCAGAAATTCAAAAAGCAACTAAAAGTAGTTCAGAATTATCTCAAGTCATTCAGCTTATCATTAACGATTCCTGGCCTCAAAAGAAGAAACAAATAAGTAACTCGCAAGTCAGTGATTTCTTCGAACATCGGGATAAATTGACAGTAACACAAGATTGTATTTTCTTCGGCGAAAGAGTTGTTATCCCAGCTGTTTTTCGTGATAAAATATTAAACGATTTGCATCAAGGACATCCAGGCGAATCTCGAACTAAACTTCTTGCCAGCACAAAAGTTTATTGGCCAGGCATAAACAAAGACATTGAGAAGTTGGTTAAGAATTGCGAGAAATGTTCAACTTCAACAAAAACACCGGTGAAATGTACGCTTCAATCTTGGCCAATTCCATCAAAACCTTGGTCACGAGTTCATCTTGATTATGCTGGCCCAATCGGTGTAAATTATTTCCTTGTAATTGTTGATGCCTTCAGTAAATGGCCAGAAGTTTTCAAAACCAACTCGATCACATCAGCAAAAACAGTGGAATTTTTTGCAGATACTATTGCTCGTCATGGTTTATGTGATGTCTGTGTAACAGATAATGGAACACAATTTACATCAAAAGAATTCAATGATTTTTGTGGCTCTCTCGGCATAAAACATTTGACAACTGCAACTTATAGTCCACAATCAAATGGTCAAGCAGAACGATTTGTTGATTTGTTGAAGACCGGATTAAAAAAGGCAGAAGGAAATATCGACCAAAAACTTCGTGAATTTCTCCAAAGCTATCGATTCATTCCTTCCTACAACCTTGGAATGAAGTCACCATTTCAATTGATGACTGGTCGCGAAGTAAAATCAAAGCTCGATTTACTTAAGCCAAGAAGCTCACAAGAATGTGAAAGAAACATTAAAATGGAGACTGAATTCAATAGACATCACGGTGCTAAATGGAAAGAATTTCAAATCAATGACCCCATTTATTATCAACTTCATTCAACAAATGACAAATGGAAATGGGTGGCCGGAAAAATTACAAAAAAAATTGGTTTGGTAGATTATGAAGCTGAAATTGAAGGCACATTTGGAGAAAGAAAAGTTAAAGCACATGCTAATCAACTTAAGTTTCGACATACAAAAAACGAATTAAAAGAATTATTCGATGTTCCTGAAGATCCATTGAATTTTTCTGATGACGAAATTGAACCAATAATAATCCCTCAACAGCTTCCTGAAATCCAACAAAATTTAAACAATTCATCACAAATCAATCATGATAACATATCTAATGATTCTACAAATTTTGAAGATGCATTGGATAACGACGAGGTAAACGAGGACGATTCATCAAATCAAAATGACGATTCTAATGGAAATGGAAACATCACACCAAGATACCCAGTTCGATCAACTCGTGGTCAAGCTCCAGATTATCTGCGATTTTAAAAGGGGAAGAATGTGATAACTCACCACATAAATATACTCTCTCTCTCATTAGTCTCTCATTATTGTTTTCTCTTACTCTCACCTTTCCCCATCGTGGTTCAGTAGTTTGTGAACCACGAAACAAGTAACATTAATAAAGCATTATATTACAGAACCCATTGCGTTTATTGATCACTTCGAGTTCACAACAAAAATAATTTTCACTTTCAAATGTTTTGAAAAACAAGTTAATTATAATATTATCCTACCTATCTCTAATTAAACATTTCCAATTTGTCCAATTGATTGTTGTATTAAATTAAAATGTTAGTTTTTGCATGCAAAAATGTTTTGAAAATATAAAAAGCATTTCTCTAAATTGAGAGTAGAATAAAACAATAACGGAACTCATCACAGATTCTTAATTCTGTTTTTATGGATGTTCTATTCAGGAAGAAAACATATTCAACTTTCAAACAACTAACCGGCCCAAGAAATCATCCCCTTGTACTCCTGGGAAAAATCCATCGTAGTCCCATAATGTAATTAACAGTTCTTGTACAAGAGTCTCATTAATCTCAGCCTTAGTTCATTTAACCATAATAATAAATAAAAACAGAAAAGATAATAATAAATCTTAGACAAAAATAAACCTCTGTTAACTTTTAAATAATAAAAGTCATAAGATTATAAGTGAACAGAAACAGGTAGATGATTATGATGAGAATGTTTAAATGTCTACATAAATAGGACTAACAACATAACAATTCATGCTTTCAAATGTTCCGAAGATTCACAATCAAAGCGCATTCTCTTTATCTATCATTCTTTCCTTCTTTTAAATAATTAATAAATATTAGCAATTTATTTATCTACTTACAAACAAATATTTTAAAAGAAGAGATTTCATTGAACTCAAAGATCATAAGAAGAAGTGTAAAAGCCCCAAAGTCGATATCAAATAATAAATAACTACCTGAGATTAGTTGTGAAATGAAAGATTATTAAATATCAAACTTCGAGGCTATTTACAAATCCCTTTCCTATCTTGTAAATTACAAGAAATAAGACTTGATTTTTTATTTATCTAATTGTGACTTTTGAAAATACGTACATTCCAAGCATTTCGTCATCCTTTGCATCATCTTTGTCGTATAAATTGCATTGTAATGTCTGGCCAGATTCAGCGTGAATTTTTGCCTAATTTTAAGTTTCACATTAAAGTAGTTTAATAAATCAACAAAACAAGATTAAAATACATAGCAATTCATGAAATTAGGAGAGATAGAAGAAGAGGCTTTGTTTTCACGATAAAGAATGACGGGGAAAAATCGCAAGCATAAGAACTGTTAAACAAGAGCCATGAAAAGCATTCGGAATTTAAATTTTCTGTGTTTGCTTGCAAACATTCAAGCTCTGATAATAAATATTTCAGTGATAGTTGAAAAATGAGTTTCATGTTTGTGCACACTGTCGAAAAAAATCTAAAAATTAATTGGAACACTGAAAAAAAAATCACTCAAAAATATTTTTAAGATAACAGCTAAGGTACCTACATATCTATCAAATATCTATTAGACTCTTTATCGAAGAATTATAATTAATAAAAACGAGATATTTGTAATTGAATCACCAACACTCCGCCTTATAAATTTTTGGCACATTGATAAATTTAATTATCAAATAAACACAAAAAAGCTGATAAGGTTAAAAGGAAATCATCAAAGAATATTTAATTATATTATTGTCTATCAAAACCCTTCTTTATGTTTTCACTGTACTTTTTATCAAGGAGTTTCTTGGTTACTTCTGGACTAAATAAGTGTAATGAAATGAAAAAAATGAAAAGGAATTGAACACTCTCAACTCACCTCACACCAATAGTCCCATTTAGGATTGACATTGTTGTCAATAATCTGTAAATATTAAGTTGAATAAAGAAATGTCTTATTAATGCGTTTCAAAGTCTCACCTGTGTACGAAATTGTTGGGCACCAACAGTGACAATTGCATAAGGATCGGACTTTCCTTTTCCCAACATGCCAATGTCCATTTTCATCAAGTTTTTAGCTTCAACAACATGAACACGAAGCACACCTTCAGGCTCAGGCATTTTCAATGAAAGAGCTTCGATTTCTTCACTTAAAATGATTGGTAACTTATTAGGAAGAACCATGAAGGCTGCAATTTGATCGACGATGATTTTACGTAAGAGATCGCTTAGTCCAGGCATGTCCAATAAATCAACAACACCAACCAAGTTGAAATCAATATTAGGGTTATTTAAGAAAAAGATTTGCATTCCTCCAAACAGCGGTATTTGTGAGATTAATGGCTTCATGACGATTCTCAAGGTGCCGTGGACTTGAAAATCTTTAATTCCTCCTCTCATTCCTCCAAGGACAAAGTTTATGTCACAATCACCAGCATAGAATAAATCAAGATCCATGATGACTTCATTTCGCGATATATTTTTATCGTAAACTTTCACACCTCCAATGCGTGGTGGCTGTGGGGAGGGTGGAAATAAATTGAGCATGTTAAATAATGAAAAAGAAGGAAAAACTTACAATCGTTCCAAGAATAATTCGATCGAATTTGAAGCCATTAAGCTTGTAACCAGCGAGAGCTTTTTGTACATTTGGTTCGATTTTATCTTTGATGAGAGATCTTGTGTAATGATTTGCATTTGGCCAAACTTGTTTAAGGATTCTGTTCAACCATTCGCAACGTTCAATATCGGGGAAGAAAACCCAAGCTGGCAAATCATTCAATCGAGCAAGGATGACTTCCTTGTCACTTGAAGTTGCACTCGCTTTCGCTACAGCTCTTCTTATTTCATGTTGTGAACGATATTGTTCTCGTACTACACTGAACACTAAAGGACATAACAGCCACGCAAAGCTCCAATTCATATACCCAACAAAGTAAACCACGCCAACGATTGCGACTTTCTTGACAGTCGAGTAGATAATTGAAAACATGCTGCCATCGTTGACTTTTTCATTAAGATCAGCTTTTTCTTTGCTTAATTCTTTACTGTTTGACATTTTATCTGTCACAATATTTGCTGATGCTTCTGCAATTTCACTGTCGAGATTGCTTTTTAATTCTTTTCCACTTAAAAGGTCGTCAGTTTCACTAAAATTAATAACAAAGTAAATTAATTATGAATTGGGATTTTATAATAATTCTTTGGTAAATAAAATGAAATGACAAAATGTGAATATGTGAATTATTAATTATTAACATGAAGAGTTTCCTAAATATCCCCTTTTTTGATTTGTATTAATTCCCAATTTTTCAACAATTAAATAAAAGCATTTAACTGCTCATTAAAATTATGATTTTACTCTTTTAGTAAACAAACCTCATCTTGATCTTTTTCTATAGTTTTGTTCTCAGGTTTATGATTTATTCTTCAAAGTTCCCACACAAGACTTTCTTTTGAATCAAAGATTAATGAATCTTCAATGATGATGCTGTGTGAAAAAAATTAAAATCTTTTAGAAATATTATGCAGAATGGTCTTCCTCAAAACTTTCTCATAATTCATGAAATCAAAATCAACAAAATTTTCGTAAAATATTTGAATTGTGCCTTGCACATTTCTCGGTATTCTGATGAATGTTTTCAATGCTATTAGTTGTCAAATATTTAAACATTTTCAATCTTCAGCGAGGTTTTGTTTGTATCGGCGAATCATTAAAACTTCTTCGTCTAGTCTAAAACTCAAAACATTAAAAACTTGTATTTTTTTCATATACGAAATAAACTTTTAAAAATCGTTTTACTTGTATACTCAATCGCTTATTCACAATCTAACTCACTACGTTGATGAAAAGAAAATTATATTGCTACTCTTTGTCGATGATATCATCGTCAAACTTTTGTGTTTCATCGCGATGATTGCATTTGAAGTTTAGCTTGTATAATATCTATTTTTAAATGTTTTGTTAATATCTTTATGATTATTAAGTAATAATATTGTAAATATCAATGTTTGATGTTAGTCAGAGTCATTTCTTTGGATAACATTTTAAAATTTAACGAAGAATTGTGAAAATTCGAGACAGATGAGAACAATTAATTTAATTCACGTTTTCTATTTGCATAATTAAAAATGAAATGCCGGTTTAAATGATTCACTTTTACTGCTTATTCTATCAAGACACCATAAAAACATTCTTGATATTATTTTAGAGCTGCTTTCACGGCTACACCCAAAACTACATAAGTGACAAAAATAAATCTTTACATATTTGTTAGTGTTTTTTTTCCAAAATCATCACGAATATCAAAAGGTTTTGACACGATGATATAAATTCTGACCTCTCTTATGGAAAATGGTTTTCCAAAGCAATTAATCTAATTAAAAAAATTTAATTTTCAGATAAATTCCTTGAACTTTATCCACATGACCTTGAGGCAGCATATTTAGTTTTTTACAATCTCGTACGCGCTTTTTGAAGCGTAATTGATTTTACTTAAGCTTCTCAATTGACAGAACAAGCTTTAGTTGAAATAAGATGATGACTGTAGATATTTAATGCATCTATAAATATAACTAAACTTCTTATCTTTTAAATCCAATTTGATAATCTAGAAGTTAAACCTTTCCACTTTACAAAAATCAATTATTTTTTCCATCTTGTAATGACACAAATTTTTGTAAACAAATAAAAATTCATGATGAATTTTCCTCATTTTAAATCACAAATTAAAAGTACTAAAGACATGATGAATGAACAATCAATGCTTCCTAAATTTTGTGGTAAAAAGTATAAAAAACTCTTTTTTTCTATTTTTATGAGAATATTTAATTTCTTTTTTCTTATTCCAACATTTTCAATAGCTACGCAGTTTGTTCCCGACAAAATCTTAAATATTTTCGTTTTGAGCTTGATGTCAATATTGTCAATGCAGATGTTAATGCTCAGAATGTTCAAAATAAAGAATTAAATAAAAGAAATTAAACAAAAATCTTTTGACCGTGATAAGTTATTGAATTTAAGACGAACGCGTTTTCGCGACTTACCGAGAGCGATGTTGGGAGAAAACTGAAAAAAAAAGAGAGAATCGAATGTAAACAACCAGAGAAAATGATGTTTTTACACTCAAAGCTTGACTCGAAATCTCCAAGCAGTGTTTGATCAACGCAATACTTACAATAATCTATGAGAAAAGAACCTTACTTATGTTGACTTATGTAGATAAACGCCTTTGAATTGAAGTGCAACTTTTATTTATTTTATATCTATGTTAATTTACAACAAACTTACAATTGTTATTCAATGTAATATCAAAGTAAAACAACTCTAATTAAATTTTGAATGTTTATTACTTTGTTTAAATATTTTATGTATATGGCATAATAGTCATCAACACCTTTTCAAATTAAAAGTGACATGTGGCAAATATCCAATTGTTTACAATTTATATTTGAAAGTGCATGGATCGAAATTTCGGATGCTTATCTATAATTTGAGATAAACTTTTTTCACTGTTTTCTCGATATAAACGAACTAAAAAAATACCAGAAACCAATTAGGAGAATGACAAATTAGAACATTCTAATTAGGTATTTAATATCGCTTTGAGTTTCAAAACAATCGACGATTCATATTTTTAATTTTTGATCTCCATCTATCACATTTTATCATGGTGATTTTTTCTCTATCAAAATTTTGGTTCATAGCTTATAGAATGTTTATCCAAAATGAATGCTATAATCGATCTGGATTAGCAGAAGTGTCGATTTGAATAAAAGGTTCACTTTCAGAACGTTTATGAGAGCGTCTTCTATTGAGTGTGGGCTGCAATTCATCTTCCTCTAATGAAGATTCTACTGGAATATTCGCCAAGTCAGGTTCACTTCCTGCTCTTAATGAATCGTCTATTGATTGAATCTTATCTTCTACAGTTTGTTCAATAACTTTTGAATTAAGTATTCCCATGTCTTCAAGATCTACGTCTGAGTTAGAGAACAACGCAGTTGCACCAAGTGACGAGTCAAGCTTAAGACGTTTGTCGTCAGGAGACGGCGATGACGGTGACTGAACATTTATAATTCGGATTGGACTTGGAGTTGTTGATGATATTACAGGAGATTGATCTGGTGAATTAATTAAAGATGTTCTATGCAAAGGTGATGTTGAGGAATCAACTTTGCCATTTGAAACATTTTTAGATTTGATGATTGAACAAGCTGGAGTTTGATTTGAAAACTTTTCAGCAATTTTATCATCTTCGTGCTTTTGCATAATATCACAAGCTTTCCCAAGTGTACAAATTGTGTTGAGTACACGACATGAAAATAAGCAAGAGTAAGCAGCAAGAAACAGCACAGCAGAGCCGAAATTTGTAAAAGAAAGTGAATGATATAAAGCTTTAACTAACACGACTCCAAGTGGAAAAGGAATGAAACCCATTCGTCTTGCAACAAGGTCCGAGTGATCCGAAAACGCATGTTTTTGTCTTGTCTGAGTCACATCATAAGCCAAACTTATTGTGTACTCTTTGTAAACGTCGATAGGAATTTCATTGAATCTTGTTATAAACGCATGCTTAATCCAATCAACAATAAATTCAGTGAACATCACCCAGAAACAATCTGGAAGCATGACAAAAAATTGTTCGCTCTTCCAATTATATTCACGCATTGTTTGAATCATCACTATGACAAGGAGAATTGATAGATGGAACCTTTCACGGACATCCGAACAAGTCAGTTGAAATAAATTGTTCTTGTCAAACTTCTTGAAAACGCTTCCTTTCAGTTCAACAAAGTTATTGCTCATCATGATGGTGAGAAGTCCTTTGTTGCTGGAGTTTATAGCAACATTTAAAGCAGTCGCTTGGAACATGACTAAAATGCTGTGCAATAGAACATAAATGATGGCGAAAAGAAAATGAGCAAACACACTCAAATGTCGTTTGTGAGGAGTTTTAGGTTCGGTTGCTGTCCAAAAAAGTGCATCAATGATGTCTTGTCCAAATGCTGAAAGCAATCGATCTCCAATCTCAAGCATATTGTAGAACATGTAAAGTTTGATTATCGACTGACTTTTGATAAGATGATATAACATGTTTGTATCAGCATACAGAAGAGCAAAGCTTACAACGAACCACAAGGTCCCTTTCAGTAAATCACAAGTCTCAGCTGGAGATAAAAGCCTCTGATAGTCTCTTCTGTTTCTCAGACATCTAATCACAGGTCTTGTGAGTAAAGCCCACAATGCCATTATATATCGAACAGGAAGGAAAGTGAAGATGTAAAGGAACGAATCAGCACATTGCATGCAGCCGTATGCAAGAAACTTTTCTAACTCTCGAGGTATTTTCATAAATGAATATATTTTCTCCCGTCTTGCAGTATATCGTTCCTCGTCATGATTTAAACAGTAGCCTCGATTGAGCTCCACTCTCAAAAAATCTAGCAGTCCGAAATTTGCTTGTTCTAAACATAAAAGAAAATTATTACGTGTCATTCAATGTTAAAAAAATGTAAACAAACCATTTTCCTTTGGAATTTCTCCATTTTTGAAAGTGTGAAAGTCTTCAGTGTTATCATTATCAAGTAGAAATTCATTTTCAGCTTGAAAAGAATCTCCTCGGAATCTGATCCGTTTAACTGGTGTTGAACTGAATTCCATTTTAATATAATATTATCAAGTGTAAGTTGACATATTTTTAAACAGTTGAGAGATGTGACTTGCAATTATTTCATGTAGTGCCGAAAAGTCACACAACATTAAAAATGTCACTGACATAGTATAAGAGAAATTTGATGAACTATTGCAAAGATGATTTTTTGTAAATAAAATAATGTTAAGAATGTCCGAATAAGAAGTTAAAATGTTCATTGTTGTTTACTCAAATATTTGTGTCATAAAATCATATTGAAAAAATATCAAATTAGGTATTTATTTGAAACCAGGTAAATTCAAATCATAGGGGGTAAAAAACTTTTAATTCGCTTTGCCCATCTTTCTCTGATAAGTTTTGATAAAATCAAAACAAATAAAAAAAGTGTTTATTTATTCTTGTAGATAAGAATGAATGTTAAAAATGAAAATACCAAAAGAAAGTATCGTGTAGTGATAATAGGGGCTGGGGCTGCTGGTCTCAGTGCTGCCAACAGTTTGATTAAGAATGGTTTAGACGATTTCGTAATCCTTGAAGCAAGAAACAGAATTGGTGGACGAATAAACTCAATCGAATTGGGTTCACAAAAAGTTGAAATGGGAGCTAATTGGATTCATGGAGTTCTTGGGAATCCCATCTTTGAATTTGCAATGAGCCATGGACTCGTTGATATTCTGCAAACTCCACAACATCGAAGAGTTGTTGCACTTAGTGAGGATGGAAAACAAGTTTCTTTCGAAGTTCTTCAAGAAATTTACGAAGCTTATTTAGTTTTCTTAAGAAGATGTGAAGAATATTTTTTAGCCGAGTATGTTCCACCGGGTTAGTACATTTCATACTGAGCAAGAATTTAGAGAGAAAACAAAGATTTTCATTTTCAGATAATATTTTTTCGGTGGGTCAACATATCCAACTTGAAATTGATCTCTATCTTAAATCAATAAGTAATGACAAAGACAAACATCTGCGTGAAATGATTTTTAAATGTCTGTTAAAACGCGAATGTTGTATAACTGGCTGTCATTCAATGGACGAAATTGGTAACTATACTAAATCAATTTATCGAAAAGAAAAGAAATGATTTAAAAATTAAATTTCTCAATGAACTTTTAGATCTTTTAGAGCTTGGAAGTTATACAGAACTACAAGGAGGGAATATAATTTTACCGTCTGGTTACAGTTCAATCCTGACACCTTTGCGAAATAATTTACCACAAGAAGCTATCATTCTTAACTGTCCTGTGAAAACTATAAAGTGGAAGAAGAAGAAAACTGTAATAACAAGCCCAAGTGGACTTAATCAAATTCCTGAGGAAATCGAAGATAGTGATGGAAATAATTCTGAAAGTGGAAATGCTAAAGGATCTTCTTGTGTTCAAGGTCAACTTGATTCAAGAGTGCAAATAGTTTGCGAGACAAATGAAGAGTTCTTTGCTGATCATGTGATTTGTACAATTCCTTTGGGTGTACTTAAAGAATCTCCAAATCTTTTTGACCCCCCACTGCCGGATTACAAGCAAGAATCGATACAAAATCTTCTTTACGGGACTGTGAATAAAATATTTCTGCAATTTGATCGGCCTTTTTTAAATCAAGATATTAGTGAAATTCTGTTGCTGTGGAACGATGATGTGCAATCAAAAGAAAGTACAGAAGAACAAATCAAGAATTTCTGGTACAGAAAAATTTATTCTTTCTCTAAAATAAGTGAAACTTTTCTTCTGGGTTGGATAAGTGGGAAAGAAGCTGAGTATATGGAAACATTAGACGATAAAATAGTTTCGGATAAATGCACAGAGCTCCTTAAAAAATTCCTTAAAGATCCGTGCATTCCAGCTCCAATAAAATGTATTAGAACGACTTGGAAAAGTCAGACATACAGTCGTGGCAGTTATACCTCAATAGCTGTAGGCGCGTCACAAGAAGACATTGAAAATATTGCCCAACCACTGTTCTCGAATTGTCAACAATCTAAGGTAATTTTTTTGAAAATAATTAAATCAGATTCTGGTTGTTATAATAAATACATTCCAGCCGTCAGTGTTATTCGCTGGTGAACATTGCTCTCCAGTTTATTATAGTACTGTTCATGGTGCATATTTGAGTGGACGTTCAGCTGCTCAAGTTATCTACACACCCGAGTCACCTCAAGAAATCGTGATGGTTAACGACAGCAGTGATTTGTCATCTTGGATTCAAGGCATCCAGCTTGAATAATTATTTTCATTTTATTATGCTAGTCAAAATAAAGAACACATTGTTTGTTCAATAACGCCAAAGATCAATATTTATTGTCTTCAAAGAATGCATTGCAATATTAAAAGATATTTCTGCACTTTTTAATGAATATCTGCATAAATAAATTATTTCTTGAAATTTAAGATTAAGATTTCTTTCATTTCACAGGAAGTTAAAAAGCTTAAGAGGTGCTTGTGATTATTTTATTAAGAACTTGAAATCTCCAACATCAATCATAACACTTCACAAATCAAAAATGCTTGTAGATTTTAAATCGAATGACTTTATGAACAAAAATGCTTTCATTAATAAGCTTTTATTTAAGATTTATTGTATAAAATTATGTAAACTAAGAATAAATTAACGAATAAAAGTTTTATTAAAAAAATAATGATAAATTTATGCCTGAATGAATTAAATATTAAAACAAGACTACTGTTTGATTCCTAATCGTTGATTGCTTGACATTTCTTTTCTTGATTTTCAGTATCTTAAAAAAGAATCGGAAATCGATGACTCAATAATATCTTGAAATGAAAGTCAGCTGATCACATGTCAAATCAAGAAATGAACAAAAAAAGAAGAACTTAGAAAGATATAACGAACGAGTATCAATGACTTCTATTTTAGTTTGACACGAATATATTCTTGAGTATCTCTGTGAAACACCTTCTATTTACAACTGATGATGATTTTAACTTTTCGAGATGTAGACTTTTTATGTGGATATCTATGTAGTTTAAAATCACTCAGCTGAGTCACAATATAGAATAAAATATAAATGAGGTGTGATCCCTCTGAAGTTTTCGATTTTTAAAACTCATGTTGAGGAATTTTTAATATTTTCATAATTTTATATTTTAATTAAAAGAATATAATGTTAATTCAACAGAATTGCGTTTGATAATAGGTCGAACAGTAACATCACTTAATCAGATGCTTCTTCCTTTTTTAAAACTAAGTGCTTTATTTTGTCTTATAAAAGAATATAAAAATTTGAGATTAAAGCATTGACAATAAATTTGTGATGGTCACATTGAAACAATAATGCAAACTGAATATGAACATGAATCGTTAATTAGGTATAGAAAGGCCATTATAAGTATGACTTTTGAATGCCTTAAGAAAGATGACATAGAAAAACTGAAATAAACGATCAAATCAGAAAAGAAAGCCTGAAAATTTATTTCAGACATTGAAACGGAATTATCAGCAATAATATTTCTTTTTATATTTTTTTCTTTCAGCGTTTGGCCTCACCTTAAATGCTCTTCATTCTTCTTCAGTATTTGTTCATTGAATCTGCTTCGTGTTCTCCGTATTCTTATTTTATTTTAAATACATTGAAAAAAGACACAGACTCAGGAACATGGAACTAAGAAGCTCAAACAAGTTACTGACGGGAATTGTTCTCCAGATGATAAAATTAGCCTAAATCTTCTCTGGCAGCCTTCACTGGGATTCATACATGTCTACACTGAAAATTATTTGTTTTCAAAACAGAATTATGTATTTTACTTCTTCTTTTCTTAATTTTAATGGTCCATTCAAATTTGGGATTTTTTTTTAATTTTTCGTTTTCTTAACAGCGTATAAAAAAACGCTCTCGATTGCCTCGAGATCAACAATCATACATCACACCGTTTGGAATTATGAGAAGAAAAAAAAATGTTGTACCTTTGCAAAATACATAAACATAACTTTAAGAAATAAATCTTTAATTTGTTAAACTGAGTTTATTGATTTCATTTTAATTTTCATATGTAACCTGACTATCCATTCTTGGCATTTCATGTGAAACAGAAAGCTTAACAAATCAAAATAATCGACTGAATTGACGTAGATTGTGAATAAATAAATTTTAATTAAAAGAACACCTCAGCCCTTTAACATCACCAGCGTAATTTTGGCCGGGAGAAGAAAGATATTAAAGAGAGTTGGGTTTCAATTGAAATTGAATCCGAAGATCAGAAGCGAACAACACAAAATCCAAGGTCTACAAAGAAAGAAACAAAGTAAAGATAAATAAAATAAGAGACACAAAGCAGCAAATATCAACATTTTAATCTGTGTGAGGTCGAATACAGGAGAGTGTAATAAATAAAGAAATGACTTCAATTGCAATCTTATTCAAACATATTGAAACACCATATAAGAAAACATCTACTCGTTGACATATCTATTTTCATGAATGCAAACTTTTATGACTGCTAACTTATTGAATTGCATTTATTTCGGATTCCTGAAATTATCCTCAAATATTTCTACCTCATTTGGAAATTTATTGACAAATCGATCTGAAAGAAACGTTCAATGAACTTTAGAATTAAAAAATGTTTATTAAATTTCAAATAATGAACAAAACAATATTAGTAGAAATTTATTTTATTCTTTTAAAGAAATTTATGTTACAAATTGAAATAAAAAACCATAACTAAACATTAAAGAAGATTTAACTTTATCTGCACTAAACTTATCTGTAAATATTAACAAAGAATATGAATAATCATGTTTCGTTAAACAAATTTGACATAACGAAAATATTTATCGTAAAATTAACATTCATTCGATAAATGACATCCTTATTTCTTATGAGAGGAAATAAAATTAATTGATTTGTAACAGTTTTGCAGTCAAACGTATGTCTAAAACCTATTTTTATCAATTCAAACGAAAGAGAAATTAATCTAGGTAGATATTACCGATAATTTACTTATATTTTTAGCTTTTTCTTGAAAAGAAATGATATTTTTATTTCTTATCACGATCGGAAAAAAATGTGTTAAATCCTTTTGAAGGATGACAGAAATTTAATGTGGTAAACAAACAAGACGATATATTTTTGTAGCACTGATTTAACACTTCTTGTTTTACGTGATTAACTTTACATACACATAAAACAGTAAAATATAGATTCATTTTAAAAAGAGCTTTCTTTGTTTACTACATAAGTGTTCATATTATAGATAATATTTTATGTCCTATTTCTTAAGGTTACACAATTTTGAGATTTTGTTTTTGTTTTATTTAAATCTCGCAAAGTAAAACTTCGTTATGTCTAATTTGAGAATTTTGTTTATAACTAATCTTACATTTCAAACTTCTAATGTTAGCTACATAGAAGAATGATTCATCAAGAATATCATCAACGGAAATGTTCACATCATCGTACAAGTTGTTAGGTCTGTTAAAAACTGCTTTGTTTCGAGTTTTTAAATTAAATTAAACTTGAGGATCTAAACACATTTAGATCGCCTAAAATTTGTTATTATTGATAATGAAAAACTATTAATTTAGTTGAATGGGACATACCAAAGTAAAAAAGTTTACCAATCAGATTTTCATTTAGTTTAAAAAGTTTCGAGTTTTGTTAGAATTTACTTGTTTTTACTATTACCACTGATTGCAAATTTGTGACATGTAAGAATGAAGATGTAAGGATGGAAATATCATTATTTGCTATTGTTAATATTTTTCATTCATTTTAAAAAAAAATGTCATGTTTAGGTCACTTTCCACTTGAGTTTCAATATTTTATATTTTCTCAAGTTTTCATAACTTTCGTAAAAAAATGTAAGGCCGAATTTTTAAACCTGTAAATTTTCTTTAAGACATCTATTTGAATGATTTCGTATTACTTAAACTTGTGTGTTGATATTTTTCATTTTCTATTTTTAACTTTTTTCTCTTACGAATAATAAAAAAAAAAAACTAACGAACAATGAGGCTCAATAATTTTTGACACGTTTTCACAGAAGATGAGAGTAATAAATAAATAAATTAAGGAAAAGAACAAGTTAATGGAATGTTTAGGAAAAGTTTTAAAAATATTGTCTACCTTAAAGACTCAGTCAGACCACTGTCAAAACTGGGAACATGTAGTTTTGCCTTAACTTATTTGGTTTTTTTAATTTCCTTTTTTATGTACTTGAACAGCGACTGTTTTAAAGTGTGTGACTTTGTCCTATCTACAATCAATTTGTAAAGATATAATTGTCTGATTCATCACCCTTCATCTTTAACTCTAGAACCAAACCATAAAATTTATATGGCTAACCATTATTCGTATCTTTAAAATACTCATTTTAGATCTGATTGATCTATTGACTTTTTCCTTAACACGCTATATATCATTTCCCTAACTATGTATGTATTACTGGGCTATTTCTACTTTACTTGATTTTTTTTTTGTTGCAAGCTTCGGTTTAAAAATGGCACAAAAAGTATATGATTTCAATTAAGATAATTCATCATTTCCACTTATCATCATATGACAGAGTACTTATCATTGTATTCAATAGGCCATTTGTTTTACTTTCAACGTTATGCAAGTCTTTGAAAATTCAAATAATTTTCTTCTCAACTACCTAAGTTTTTGCACTTTAAATTTCCTGAAGATATTTTTAGATATTTTCGTTTCATAATAAATAGATTAGAAAGTATGCAGAAAATGTTTCTTCAGAATATTGAAAATAAGTAAAATAGAAGCGAAAAACATTAATAAATTAAACAACATGACAACAAGTGATTTCCAATTTTTTTGTTTGCAATTAAAATTTGCACAAAATAGTTTGGAAAAATTTCTCTTGGAGAAAATGATTAATCCTTTTTTCTCGAAAATTCTTATTCTTAAACATTAATAAACATTGAACATTTTAGAGAGATAAAAAATTTAAATCATTATTAGATATTTTCCTCACATGCAGTTTTTAAATTCTTAAATATCTTTAATATAAAATTAACATTTTGTATTTTATTATGGCTTTCATGTGTGTTTGGTGAAAATAGATTTTCTCTATCATTAATTAAATTCTTATACGGTGAACATGTTATTCATTTTTCAGAGATAAAACATACAGATATATTTGTTTGCCATTAAGTCTCTCACATTATGACATTTTGTCTCTTATTCACTTTAAAATGTACACCTATAAATTCTTTTGATAATTTATTTCCTTATTTTCTTAGGTCTTACAAGAAAAACAATCTCATGAAATTCGGACAACATTTTAGTGAACGAGTGTTTTCGATCGACATATTTAAGAAGGAAATTTTTGTGAATATTTTTTTTCATGTTTTTTTTTTCTTTTATGTTTTAATAGATAAATTGTAAAAATTTATTAGACCACAATGGTGAAAGACAATTTTCGTTAGATCGGAAAAAGTTTCCGTATAAACTTACGCAAACATTAAAAATATATTTCCTTATTCTTCTTTCTATGAGATCACAGTAAAGTTATGTTTACCATTTGTTAGAAACTTGGCATGGTATATCTAATATGAATTTTAAAGTTATGATTAGTGAATTTAATGAGTTCTCATTGGAACTCTTGTTAATTATGATTCATAATTAGAGGTAATTTAAATCTGTAAAATTTTAAATATCTTCTTAGTTCTACACCATCGGGTGAATTGAGATTTTGCTTCATGACACTTAGTGCCTCATGAAAAGGAAAACTGTGTCATTTCCGTTCAAGCATTTGTTGATGCTCAAATATTTTATTCAAATTATATTGATATTGTACGTATATGATGTAGGTGTACTGAATTATTTCTCATTTACTTTCATTTAATTTACTATTCGTCAATTGAAATATTGCGTTTTGTTGACCAAGTATTCCCTTTATTGATTATTGCAAGATGAGATTGTTTTTTTATATTGTAATCAACAATAAAATTATACTTGCTATGAAGATAATATTTGGCACTTTTGAGTTGTTCTCGTGATCGTTCTACGGTTTGTTTCAATGTCTTTTCTATGTTTTTTTTGAGTGAATTTATGATTTAAGAATAACAAATAACATTTCCAATAAATGCTTGATCAATTAATGTAAATAAAGAATTACTACATCGAGATTATCTTTGTCATCGTTAATGACATTATTCTCATAACGAGTCGGGACAACTTGATCAATTTCGTCATCAGATACATCTGCTTCAGCTTTATATCGCATAATAGTCGGCTTGATATCCTCTTCGATAAAGCCCATAAAAACGTCATCTTTAACGTCAGAAAAGTTAGAAAGCGATACAACTGATAATTGACGATCAAAACGCAATAAATCAACTAACGAATCTTCGGTCTACAATGACGATGTTGTATTTATCGATGATGAAAGCAAAGGTACTCCTGAAATTTCTTGCATATGATGATGAGTGATTGTTTGGTGGTGATGATTGTTATTATTACTACTGCTGCTGCTACTTTGATTTAGCTTCTCTTTTTTGATTCGCTGTTTCAAGTGAACTTTCGCATGCCTTTTCTTCTCATCTGAACGCGCAAATTTACGTCCACACGTGTCACAACTGAAAGGCTTTTCGCCGGTATGAGTACGAATGTGAGTTGTTAAATGATCGGATCGTGAGAACGATCTCATACATATGCGACATTGGAAAGGCTTTTGACCAGTATGAATTCTGATATGACGTGTAAGCTCGTCAGAACGGGAGAAACGACGATCACAGTTTTCAACAGGACATGCATATGGACGTTCATGAACTGGAGTTTTGCTTGGTCGATTTGGATACTTGCGTGGCTTTACTGGAACTAACTTCAATGGCATTGGACTTTGCTGATAAACCTGAGATAGAATCTCATGGCCTTTACTTGTTGCTTGATTATATTCAGCTAATTGAACAGCGTACGATCCTTGATTACTTGTTTGATTTTGTAAATGGCTAGAATCACTTGGTTGACAGGATGATGGCGTAGAGTAAGGTTCTTGTTTTGGTATTAATACTGAACTCGATGATGCCGAAGAAGCAGATTGTTCCTGACCAAACTGTTGCTGACTTTGTTGCGGAGATCCATATTCAACTGGTGAATCTAGCCACTGATATTTTGGTGCGCTTACACTGTCGTTTCTTGAATATTGATGCAATTCTTGTTGCTGAATTTCTAAAGACGATAGTGAAGTTGGAACAACACAAGCTCCATAATTATTCGATTGTTTAAGCAAAATACTTGAATCCATATTCAATCCTAGAAGTTCGACTTGATGATGGGGTAGTCGTTCATCATAATGATGATGAGAATGATGACCACCAGGATTTTGTGGCTGAAAGTGTGCTTGTGAAGTGCTTTGAGATGAACTAAATAAGCTGAACATTGGCTGTTGAAACAATGTTTTCTCGGGACTTGGCAAAGCCCAATTTAAACTCGACGCTGATGGTGGTGACATCTGACTCGGTATGATCGTAAGATGTGATGAAAAATGAGTCCCCGTGTTACCTCCATTTGGACTAGATCCTGTACCTGCAGTTGCAAAAACACCTCGATAAGAAATTTTACCATCATGATAATGATCATTTGAATGTGTATTTGTGTTATGCAAATTATCGTGATTTGATGAATGCTGACGATTTTCATGAAGATGACTGTTATTGTGATTGTTATGAAGATGATCGTGTGGGTGATTAATGTGACTTGTTTGAAGATGATGATTGAGATGTTGTGCGGGTTGATAGGAGTGAGATTGACTGTTACTAGCATTACTTGTTTCTTCTTCGACGACGATAGCTGGTGGAGTGATGCGCTCTTGTTTCGAGGGACTGCAAAGACTACCGGGACTAGATATGTTTTGAGGTTCCAATGACAAATCCTCAGATTCGATTGAACCTATATGAATTAAAATGAAAAATATATATTTAAAAATCACGCTTTTAATATTAATCTGTTGATTGACTGTTAAAATGACACAATCGCAGTTAACGTGAGAGTTCAACAATTAATTTCAACATTAAATGGCTTCTGAATATGTCCAAGCCATGTCATATCAAATCTTCTTGCACATCGAGATGAATAAATAATAATTTCTTTTCCATTTGTTCAGTTAATTTTAATTCAGTGTGTTGCCAAATGATTTATGATCTGGTAAACCCAGTAGATGGTTATTTAATTAAAATGAATAGATCCACAGCTATCACAGTTTTCTCTTTATATTTTGATTCAATGTGATCATAACAGCAGCGATGTAAAGGAAAAAACTTATAGTTTAGAAATTTAAAGAAACAGAAATCGAGTTTAGCGATCATTTGAAAGTTGGTGTGAGATGGACTTACGGAAAAAGAAAAATTGAATAAAATATTTTAAAAACTTTCAACAATCTTTAAGAAAACTTTTCATTTGTCTCAACAGATGATGTAAACAAATTGTTCAACATAAATAAAATTACTTACCAGTAATGATGGGAGGTTCAACAACAGTTGAGGGTCCAAAGAATGATGGAATATCAGCAGATGTTGTCACAGGTGTATTCAAATCTCCAGTTTGCTGATGTTGCACACTGCGATCAGTGGTATGCTGCTGTGTATCTTGTATATTCAACGTAGGGTGACAATGATGTCCACTAGATGTAGCAGTAGTTGTTTTGGTTGTTGATGGCAGCAAGGAGATTGAATCAGATTTTGACTGAGTCATAGAGATTGTGGAATGTGAGCTTGTATTGCCACTGTTTGTAGTAACTATTGTAGTTACTTGCTGCTGTTGCTGTTGATGACTTTGCTGTTGAATCGATGGTTGCTGCATTTGTTGTTGCTGAGATAATTGCTGCTGTTGATTGTTATTAAGCAGCTGAGTTTGTTGATGAGCCTGATGATTATTGTTCACTGTTGCGTGGTTATTATTGTTCATGTTATAAGAACTCGCAGTTGTAGCGGCTGTTTTGAAGAGACTGCACGTATCAAAGCTTAGCACATTGAAATGTGCAGCTGCTGCTGATTCCGTCAATAGGTAGGCATGATGTGAGGGTGTCACAAGAGTATCTAATCCTTCCATGATCATGGCCGTAGTTGGTGGTGGAGCAGCTTGGGAGCTACCTGAAGAACAAAACAAAAATATTTTTGAAAACTCAACTCATATTTGTTTCTTAAACTTAAAAAGAAAAATCATTAATTGAATCTCTTTTTAATACGTATGTATACTCGAATATATGTTATACACATACGAGACTTTAAAATTCGATTGAATTCTTTAATTATATAATTTAGTGCCTTGAAACAATTGACACTTGACACCACATCATATGTAATTAAGTTGAAAGCATACAATGAATGTGTGTTTGGAAGAGCCACAATTTATGTTTTATGAACGGCTCACATTTTACTTCAACTTGCTTTCTTACATGATCAATAGAACTACACAAATAAAATTGATTTTGTCTCTTCCGATGTAAAAAATAATAAAAATTATTGTCACTTCAATAACTGCTGTTAAGTTGTAATCAATATTATTGATAATATTAATGTTACTATTGAATGAGTAATAAATTTCACATATGGCGTTTAAACTTAAAAGTTTAATTTTTTCTCTTTGTAGTGAACTTTCAGATAATGTCATTATCTAAAATATTCTATTAGCATTAATTAACAACTCTTTTTACACGGTGATGATGCAACCGTGTTTCCTGATTATTATATGAAAGTAACAAAACTGTTTCCCAAAATGAAATTATCATAATGAATGCTTAAATTAAAGAAACTAGCCGACAATTGAAAGAGAAAATATTGATTTTCACAATTTGTACTTATGTTGATGATCTCGGTTTAGTTCTTCGTTATTGTTTATGTCTCATTTAAGAATGCCGCAACTGTGTTCATTTAAGATGACTTTCAATATAGAAATAAATTAAAGATTCTTCTCTCAAGTTCTAATATTATAAAATTAAGTATGATGAAGTTTTAGAGACGCTTAGCACCAAATATGTATATCTTTTCATGTTATTTCCTTTTTTATTTGTCGAATTTTAAATCGATTCTACTTCCTTATAAAGATGGGCTTCTTGGAAGTCGTTTCATTTTATTTACAAAAAGATTTTTTACTTTACATTTCTTTTAACTTTTGTATTATTAATGGATGATGTACTAATCGTTTGAATCGAAAACTTTATGTAAAACACTTTTGAATCTCGTAGCCAATCAATAAGTTCGACATTTTCGGAATTATATTTTAAGATCACTTAATTTATCTCTTTATTTATTTTGGTTACTTCTTGAAAGCTTTTCCTTAATTCTGTAATATTCCCTTCTTCAAGTCAGGTAGATAAATTAGTATTATCTAAATGTTATGATTTAATTGATAAATTATTTAATATTAAAAGTTTTACATTACTTCTTAAATTCACAATGTTTTGATTCGACATTCACAACCTCCAATCATAGAAGACATTAAGTAGCTTGAATCCAACAAACAAGATGTATATACTTATAACAAAAATATGTTTTGGAGGGGAAAGTTGCAACAAGTGTTTAATTTCTGCTACAAGTTTTCACTGATATCTATCAACAAGTCAAGTCAAAAGCGCAATGTTCATTCTGTAGCATTTTCCCAACATGGCGATAAGGAGAGGATAAAAGATGTTTATAGATGAATTTTGAGTATACTTTCTGTACAATACTCAGTTTTCCATTTTCTTTTTTCTAGGAAATCTAGATCAATTTCTTTGTTGGAGTTTAGGTGGAAGTTCGAATTATGTAAGATAAGTTACTATCATCTTACGGGATACTAAGAAAAAATGTGTATCAAGTATTGAAAATATGAAATCAATTAAAATTAGATTTTTATAAGAGGAACGAGGATTTTTATGATAGCAACAAGTGGCTATACTTATCATAAAGCAGGGTATAAGTATGTATGAAACTCTTGGGTCGAATATTTTATCAATGATTTTATCAATGTTGCAGACGTGACTCAAACGCGCAGACTCGTAAAACTTCATTGAAGAAAGCTTTCCGAAGCTTGTTTTCGGATTTTCATTCAAAAGCTGCCCTAGGAACGATGCAGGGTGTAATATCCCTTTTCCCTGATAAAATCTCATCAAAGAGCTTGTGTCTAAAAATGGATCCGAACAACGAAGCATCAACTCTCTTCTATGCTTGAATATGTACTGGAGGAACGAAATGTTTGTATTCCGTGTTTTAACTGTAAGGACATGCATGCAGACATTCAAACAAAAATCTCTACGTAACCTTGATAATAATTCCCTGTGAAACTTCAACGCTGACGTAATAATACATTCATTGATATCTTTGCTTTTAAATGAGTTCAATACTTCGAGAAATGATAGAAATTTTCAGTAATTATCAAAATATTCTTTAAAGATTTTATTTTTAAATTTCCACTTGTGAAAATATTTCACAATAGAGAAATTTATTATTTTAAACAACTACAGAAAAACATAAAGTGACAACATGAATAGTAATTAAGCAATTTATAAGCTTAACTTTAAAGTTTATCTTTGAAACGTTCACAAAGAAGTTCGCAGAATGTTTCCTTAGTTGCTTCTTTCGTGAGAAACATAAATATTTCCCGGTTATTTTTAAAGTATTCGATGTCGGTATTGTGAAAAACAAACGAAATTTGCTGACGTTGCGTCAGAGTGAAGAACATTCTTCGACTTTAATATTCTTTTAGAAAAATAAAATAAATTTATAAATATGTTTTAAATGTGTGATTATGAATCAGAAAACAACATGAATAATCTTTTATATTCCCTTTGAGTAAATTTTATGCTTATATTAAATATTTTTTCTCGCTAGGAAAAAGCCTAAGGAGGAGATGAAAATACTGAGCTAAAAATAGTTTTTTTCTCCCGCCGGTAAAATATTTTACACAAGGTTTAAAGTTGAACAAAAATAATAATAAAACTAGAGAAAAAGAAATGAAATGACGATTACCTTCACTTTGTTATGAAAATTTTTCGTGCTTTACGAAAGAAAGATCCAATATTGACGAAGCGAGAGAAAACTCTCAACTTTTCTCCTCAACTAATTATTTATCACCTTATATTTGAATATTTTAAGCTTTAAGTTTTGCAATTTTCTGTATGTGTTCAATTTTTTATGGAAAAAATATTTTATTTAACATACACAATTTTGGAAAATGTCGTGGGCTCACTTAACCCACGCTCTTATTTTTTTTCATTCATAAAAATTTACTTCTTTCTCAATGTTTTTCTTTTTTTTTGATATAATATTTTTATAGATATCAAATTGTTGATTAATGATTTTTTTAACTTTTCGTGTTGAACATAAAGTTTGAAGCATAAGCAGGAAAATTCAAACTACAACTTTTCTCAGTAATTCTTTTAACTTTAGATTTATTTGAAAATGTTAAATAATTGTTCATTAACATGAGACACTTTTTCCAACTTGAAGATATTTTTTCTTTTTTCTCTTTCTTTTCTTGACTGTGGATGCGTGATTTAACTAAGACGTTTTTTTTTAATTTACGAGCTTAAATATTTCAGATAAAACTGTGTTACAGATTCACAAGGAAGTTTGTTTTACACTACGACCACCTGAATAATTCAGCTTACTCAACCGAATGCTGACTGATTGAGAAATTTTATTAAAATATTTTCGTTCTAAAGATATTTATTTTCCTTCCAAACTTGTCGTCACAAACACGAAAATACTACTGAAGCACGACGGATACCAAGCTTAAGATTTTATGAATGAAAGCTTACTGGTGTAAGTGAGCCGTAGATGGAATGCAGAGAAATAGCTTCAACAGCCAATCGTGGAACAAGAAGCCCCACCGCATGTAAAAAATCGATAAGAGAGAAACCAAAACGGCAATTGTGTATATGGTATGAAGAGAGAGCGACTTATTTGATATATTTTTATGAATGAATATTGTAATATAGATTGCTTACACACTCTCCGAGATCATTATAAAATTGAGTGACGTCATAAGATTTTTGGCACGCGATGCTTGAAATTATAAGTGTGAAAGAAGAAAACGAGAAAAAAGCTGTTGCTTGTATGTGAGGGAAGCCACTAATTTTTACGGTGTTAGTGATCATATCGAAATAGTTTATTGTAGAAAGAGATATTTTATTATGCATTTAAATATTTTTTTTATATTCTAATTCCAAAAGCGACTCATAACACATGTTTTTCGAATGCAACTTAATTAGTAAATTTGATTACTATTGAATGGCGTTAATTACATCTTTCTATTGTTATTAACGCAAACTTTTCACCGATATAATTATTATTTAAAAATTTTATTCCCTTATAACCGAAAACATTGTTATTATGAACACATTTTTCCTTATTATTTTGAAAGAAAAAATCAGTCTTTTGGAAAAGTATTATGAAGATTTCTTTTAGTTTCAAGTTTTTAATTTATGTTGCTTAAGGAAATAAAAAATAAATTAATTCAACTTATCCTTCTTATTTCGTCAAAAGAAATGATATATCTATGTAATTTATGTAGATTCTACATACATATAATAAAATCGTATCTATGTGATAAAATTCCCAACGACTCCCCATCATATTTTGTGTGTGCAAGCACGGAAATATTTTCTGTGAAAACAAAATTCAAAAGCCTGTTGCGTTTCTTGTACATATTAATAGAAAGAAAGCAGTCATGCACGTAAAGAAATGTGATTTGAAATCACTGATTTTCATAAGCATCATGACAAATTTATTTACAGAATTCTTTTTTAAGAGTGAAAAATAAAAAAAACACTTTATATTTGAGATATTTGGCTGTGTCGTTTTTCGTAATTTCTTCTATTTATTTAGATATTTAGTTATCTATACGCTTTGGAAATGTAGATGGAAAATAAGTTTAACATTTTTCCTCATCTTTACATTCTATCAAAACACTGAGAGTACTTAAAATTGCCACTTTCTATGTCCTTATTCAAGTTTAAATAAGTTTCCAAAGCAGCAGGAAGAAATCTATTAGTAAATATCGATGTTTAGATATCAAAAAAATAGAATTGAAAGATTTCTGAAACCCTTAGGAAAATCAAGCAACAATGCCAAAATTTCGACGGTGACGTAGCTTAAACGAGTTGGGGCTTGCTTGAAATGTAATTACTTTTTTTTCTCTCTCGAAACAAAAACTTTTAATCGCTATGACTGAAGAAAATATATTTTGAACATCCATCATCACCATGTTTTGGTCATTCGATTTAAGACGTCAAAAATAAGCAATTGTTTTTCTCGTCTTTTTTTATACGATGACTGTTTTACAGCGGCGTTAGAAAATCATTTCCATCGTCTTCCATTTCAATGGTGCGATTTTCATTGTATCGTCGGTAAGTCACATCATTATTATTTTTATTCTTCATTACGTCTTTTGTTCTTCATACGCGTTCGAAGCTATAAAAAGCCATATGTAGTTTACTAATTGTAAAAATCTTTTATCTGTTTGACGTAACTAAATACTAACATTAAAGGGAAATGCAAAAAAAAACGAGTAAGGTTGATTCCTGATATCAGTAAATAGAAATCGTGTTATCGGATCAAATTTTTGATCAAACTTTGGCATTTAAAAATGTTTGTTACTATACAAAGGCCCCGGCATTGGTTTGGTCTCAAGAGCAAGGTTTTGAACGGCAATATTTAGATCATGCGCACTATCTGTTTTCTAACGCTTGCTTTCATACAATGTCAAAGTCATTCTCTATTCAAACATAAGACAGAAAGAAAAATCGATAGAAATATATGTGAGAACGTATTCCATTTTAAATATTCCAGCATGAACTTTGCGGTAGCCACAGCATAAAGTTAAAGCCGGTTCTTTTTTGTATAGCATTAGATGTAGTATAATTAATATATGAGAATTATTAAATTGTCTCGATTCCTTAAAATCAATCAAAGTTCAAAAGCATTCCCAAAGTTTGAATAATAATTTGCAATTTTTCAATATTTTGCATTAGAAGAAGAAAATTCGAATCAACTTCGTAAATGACGATGTTCATTTTTAATGAATACTTTTAATGAATACTTTTAAAAGCCTTCAGAAAAGCTCTCGAAATTGACAATACTAAGCCTGATTTTCCATTAAGATGAGTAAAAATATTTTGCTTTATTGATTTTCGTTCTTTTGCCCGCTAAACTCTTGATAATTTCCCTTTTCTTTTCAAATGGCGAAAATATGGTCTTGCTATGCTTGCTTTTATTTTTACTTTCTTTTTTGTAACCATTAAAATTGAGTTTTCTTACTGACGTCATTTCATTCATAAATCCATTTCTCTCATTTCCCCATCCTTTTACCATGAACCCGCTACGTATTGCTCGTCGCATGCTGCATTGTCGAATTTTTTTCTATGAACCACCACCGAAGATTTTTCATGTAAAATCGCGTTTGCGTTATTATCGTCGCTTGAGAGCTTTTACGTAACACTGATACACAAATTGTGGTAGTCGTTAATAAATGTATTATTTGCAGTGAGAGCATGCGTCCTTGTTTTACTGTCATTTTTAGTAGCGTTAGTGTAATTTTATGAATGAAATTTTGTTTAAAAAAGGGGAAAATTAAATCTTCTATTAAAGGAGAAATTTTCATTCACAAATGAAGCTTCAATGTATGTTCTCGTGTCCGTCACATGTGAACCAGCAGGAGATTTCTTTTGGAATGAGACTAGTGACGTAAATTGTCGACTTGAGCAAACATGGAGCAAACGTGTAGAGTTTAGGGTAGAATTGATAAAAATATCTTTCTCAAATGATATCAAATTATTTCAATTTCACTCACTTTTGATCTCCAATAACAATTCAGAAATAAATACAATTTCTGAATATGATGAAGACGACTAATTTACATAGAAAAGAATCTGATATTTCGAAAACATTTTAAGGTGAGACAACATCATGATAAAAATAGATTTTTATGAAATTTCCTCTTTTGTACATTGTATTCAACAAGTATATTTAGAAGATGAACAAACAAATCAGGTAGACATTTTATGCTTATTAAGATAGCAAAAAAAATAATAATTCCAGAAATTGTGTTGAATAAATATGCAAAATAAACTGAAAGTAATTTTTCTTCTTCACCAACATTAAAGGTGCAACGAAAAACTGGCTTTTTGCAATACGATTTATGCATTAGTCAAAGGAAAAATTATCATGTGAATGTGCGCCCGTCTAAAAATATGAAATAATTTTTCATCATTCGTCTTGAAAAGTTGAAAGGAAAAGAAACGTTTATTCTTATTCTTATTTTCAGCATCGTTTTCCATACAAAGAATTCATAGCAGGCACAAATACCTTATAATTAGAATGAAAATCTTGTGCTTTTTCTTTTCATTTCTCTCTACATTTTTCTAGCGGTGTGATTTAGATATATGTCTATATACAACGAAAAGAAAAAGTAAATATTAATTTCTGAATTTCGTAATACACCTTTTTATATATTTTTTTTTATTTGGATTAACCCGAAGCAAAATCCGTGGGCCAGTGTTTTTTTATTGACCGTCACTATTTATAGAACGCCGACAAATTTTGAGTTGGATATAAATAGTTTTTTGAGCTCAATTGGCATGTTCTCAAGCCGGAATATTTCAAACGTAAACAACATACTGTTGCTTTACGAAAGTGTTAATGAAAATAATAGAAATAAATTGTTTTTCACATAAAACTAAGGCGATTGAATTTTCATTGTTCTTGTTTAGTAAGAAATTTGTAAGTCCCAACTTATGATACATTTAAATTGAACATTTTTAGAATTATTATCTTTCAAACTTTTGCTGAACACGCCATGAAAGGGAAGAAAATAGAAAAAATAAACAAAAAGTAAAATGGAAATAAGCCGAAATCTTTAAATAGAAATCGACATTTTTACTTTAACGTCATTAAAGCAATAACGTGCTTCTCCTAGCGAGATTGTTATTTTTTTCGTCTTATTGATCTAAAATAAGAAACTTGTTAGGGTAGCTTTCAACCCTCGCAAGTAATTGATGACATCAGATACCACGTGAAAACTAGAATCAATTCAGCTTCTTCCTCACTCCACCTGTGCTTTTGTTCTTATTATTTTTGGAAAAAGGAGAAAATGCTCCGAAAGTATAAATTGCTTACAGAGTAAATAAAAGATATCAAATTTAGCGAAGAATACTTCACGTGGGTTTCAGATTCTTTTTTATTAATAAATATTAAAATCTAAATTAGAATATATATTTTAATAATTTGTAGAACGTCAGCTTTTCTTTTTCAATTTTAGATTTAAATCATTCTCCTTACAATTCAGCTTTTGAAATGATTAGATGCAATCATTTCTATTGACAGATATGAAAAATATGATCAAATAATTTGTAGCAATAAATATAATTGAATTGAATTTTGAACGAAGCTCAGATAAATTTCATTTTGAATATAGCTTTTAAATAAATGGTTGAACTTTCAGTTTCAGTCAAATCAATTATGATGATAATAGAGTATACCGACGATTTACAAGTATGGGTTGCTTTAGTGATTCACTTATGACGTTTTTATATTTCGTTTCAAATGAGAGAAAATTGAGAAAAAAAACCTTCACATGATTTATTTTTAGGACTAAAAAAATCACGAGTATTTTTAAATACCATTTTTGCTCGTGTGTTTATTTGAAGGAAACTCGAATATTTTTAATGTAGCATCATTCACTAAAATTGTTGCGATGCTCATAATTTTGTAAAGTTCATTAAACACACGGGATCAAGCGGTTTTGGTCTAATACACTTATTTGGTTAGAAATCATCTCATGTTTATAAGTAGTCTGAAACATTTGAAATTTTCTTACAGTTGCATCTGATTCAATCTTTTTATAATAAAAGAAATTCTTAAATTATTAAGTGAATTGAATTATAAAACTATGAACAGCTGTTGCCCATAATATTTATTCTTTTAAATATTTTAGTGAACTGAATAATAATTTCAATAAAATTAAGCTTTTTTAACGAAACAAAATCTTTTACTTAAATACGAAAGTTTTGGACAATGAATTGGTCAATATCTTTCGAAAATTATCTGTTGGATACTACTTTGTTAAATCAATTCAAAAGCTTTCCAAAACGAGTTAACTTACCCGAGCTGTTTCCTCCAAACCAAAGTAGCAAATCTTCGCTTGGTGACGGATGATGATAATTTCCGTACAAATAAGGACTACCCGGATAGTCAAAGAGCAGCCGGCGAGAATTTGGACTCTCTCCTGGAATAAAGCAAATATAAAATTCATATTAACGTCTATTAATTTGTATACATTGACTACATTGTATCTAGATGGAATGTATTTGGTAAAAATCAATTGAAATAAATATTAAAAGGTTTTTTATATGCGCAACTTTCAAGATTTTTCTCTTTTAAGTTTTGTTGTTGAAATTTATTAAAGAAATTGTAAATATATGTTTGTTTTGTAAATAAATGCATTTGCTATGTCTTTCCAAGTGCAATGAATTTTGGTTTAACAAATGATAACTGATAATTTTCTTTTAAGTTTAATACAAGTTTAAATATAAATTTATCATTTTTTCATCAACATTTTTTTAAATCTATATCTGATTTTCATATTAAATGTCAAATTCTAAGTAATTGATGACAAGAAACACTAAGGAAAATATGTACACAGCAAATAACTTCAAAACTTTTAAGTCAAAACGTAAATATTATATGAAAATTTACCACTTAGAAAATTCGTTTTGTGTTTTTCTTGAAACATCATTGAAAGTGTTTTATAAATAAATAAGCTAAAATGTGGAAATACATAAAGATGATCAACAAAACAAAATAAAGTAACACAAATGTAATAATTTTCTTTTCATTGCTGGTATTTTCACAATAATTTTCACAATTGATGTTGTTGTAATTCGGAGAAATTTTGGCACAAAAATTTTATTTCATTTCTTTGTTAAAAACTGTGAATTTCCAATGAATGGAAGTAAACAAGAAAATTGGTCTATTGCAATATAAATTTAAACAATGTGATTTATGATATTTAATCAAACTATTTTGTTCTAAACTTAAATATTCATAATAGATTTCATTAAAATTCAAGATTTTCTTAATATCGAAGCAAAACTTGGGAACCTATTTAAGATTTTCAGGATAATTTTAAACAGAAATAATTATTCTAGCAATAAAATCCTCTCTAAAGATAACATTTAAAGACAAGTTTTAAAGATTGCAATCAATAAGAAATCGGCTGTGCTATATTTAAGGAAAGTTTATTAATTTTCTGATAAGTTTCATTTCAAAATAAAGTTTTCTCTGATTGTTGTTTAAGTTAAGACGGAATGACATAGGAAGCCGTCGGTCAAGACGAAGATAACTTATAAGAACTTCTTGTCACATACCTTGAATTTGGTTATATTCTGCGGCTTTCTGAAGATTAACTCTTGGTCTACTTTGAATGTTCTTAGTGACTGTTGAAGGAGTTGTTGCACTCGAACTTGGAGAAGCTGTATAAGAAACAGTGTTTATTGTTGATGACGTTGAAGCTGAAGCAGTTGAATTTTCAAGAAGCAATTGTTGAACTTGCAAAATATCAACATATTCTTCTAACTGATTTTGGGATGAAGAAATTAAAGTTGATGTACTTGGTCGACTGCCTAAGACAATTGAATTTTTAAAAATATTAATTTCTCGCTCTTTTTCTTCGACTTCATTTAAATTTTACTTGTTTGGAGTCCACTGTAACTACTTGATGTGCTATAATTGTGAACCGGATGAGTATAGTTCAAATGCGTTAAATTGTTATCGTCAGGAAGATTATTTGTTGTATAGCTGTTATGTGGTGCGTTGTTGTTGCTATTGTTCAAATTATCACTTTCGCGACGCATAGCTAACATTTTTTACACCTTTTTTTGAGAAAATCTCCAATTTAATGATTATTTGGTGTAAGCTCACACACTCAAGCTCCATTTAAAAATACGAAATTGATAATTGAAAGATATAAATCTTTAGAAAGATCACATAAATTTTTTGTTTCTCAAAAAATAATCTATCTAAATTCGTAGATTTAATTTTTATCATAAATTTATCCTATTTGAAGTAACAAATATTCCAATCCATGAATGAGATGACGCACACAATTAAAATTAATTATTATCGCTGCATGAACAATATGCGAATCATATACAGTCACTAGTATCAAATGATAAAATAATTATACATATTTTTTTCACTTTTTATGTCTCAAAAGAGGAAGTTCAAATTATTTTTACGTTTTTCGTTTTATTCTTTCAAATCACTTAATTTAAAACATTTCTGAACTCTTTTATTTATTCAATAAGACACTCATTCAAGGATACGTTTTTGTTTTAATTTTTAAGTGCACTGTATTTAATTCCTATGGTTTTTGAAACCGAATAGACACGACAATTCTTATTTAGTTCATTTGATATTCTTATGATTTGATTTTTTTATACCCGGCAGTTGAAATAGACATCCGAAGTATATTTAATCGTAATTTTTTTTTGTTGCCTTTGGTGTAGATAATATTTATTCAATTTTTGAGCCACATTTTCCAATTTAAAGCACATTAAGTGTTTGAAAAACTCAAATATTTTTAAAAAGTGACTAATAACACTTTTCCTCGTCTGCTGAATATCTACTACTTATAAGATACAGTTTCACTTTAATTTGTGTAACTACAGTGATATTTTAATGTGCTCGCAATAACTTCCATTGCATTTAAATATCATTCTTTTCTTCGTTACTTCCGTTCGATATCGTCTCGAGAGTAAAATAATGTTTCCACAATTAAAAATATTGTTTTAATTTTTTTATTTAATTTAAACTTTAGAAAAGAAAAAAGATCGTGTGTATCGTTTAATAGATAGTTTTTCATACAAAAAGTTGTAAATTTTTCACGAATCACCGTTCACTCAACAGGAGAAACAAAATAAAAATATTTCCACTTCTCTCGTTTCATAAGAGATATATATCGAAACTGAATAGCTAAGACACTGAGCGCAAAGAAAAGATCATTTTAAGTCGGTTGGAACATACAAGAAAAGCAAATAACACGACTGTTTACTGTTTTTCATATGATTTTTTTCATCGCGCCTGTTCTCTCTTTCGGCAACGATAGCTGTGTGTTGATTATATTTCGAAATTCTCTCTTGAGAGCAAACGGAGAAATTAGCGTAGGATATAAACAATACATTGGTGACGTCATGATAAACAGCTTCGAAAGTACATCATGAGTCGCGTGGAATATATGACACAAACGACAGCGAGAAGAGAAGAAACGCAAACACAAAGCTTAAATCCCCGGCTAATATTTTTACTATATTGTTACATTCAAGAGCAACGAGAAAAAAAGTAACTTGTTTGCTTTGTAAGAGCACAAGAGGAAAGAAAACATGTGAATGAAAATAAATTCACACACTAATGTCTTAAGCGTAGGTGGCTCATTTATATATAAAAATATACATCTTAAAAGCATCTCTACACATTTAGCATGTTTCATTCTATTAAATATTTATTTTTTCTTGTACAACTTTTAATAGAAGTTTAAGGAAGTGCTAAAAGTACAATTCAAAACTTATTTTTCTTTAAGGTCATGTCATAAATGGAAAACTATTTTATACCGAATTATTCTCGAGACTTCATCAATTTTTACTTTTTTCATGTATACGAGCATAACTTCGAAAACATTGAAATATTTCATATAAAAAGGATCAACAAAATGTTTTAGAAAGAATCTCATCACTTCTTTTTCGAAGATTGAGAGATAGGATATTTGTTCTCTCTTCGAAATATTTATCGAGATGTGTATGTATGATCAAACGAAGCTTTCATGAATGGAAAAGTTCGATTGCGTGTGGGTTTCTATTTCTCCTATTTAAAGTTTCTACAATTCAATGTTTTAATTTTGCTTCTCCCATTTTGCCATGAGTTTACGAATGATGCTTCCTTGAAGCCGTCACCTACACTTTGTTAAAAATAAATAATTATTGTAAGATATTTCCTTTAAATTATGCTTTGCTATGGGCTCATATTTAACTGGAAGAAATGAAAGAGGTTCTTAGAAATTACTTTTAAATCTGAAAGGATAAATGAGTTGGCATAGAGAATACTTGAAGTCATATTTCTAGAAAGTTAGAGAAATTCTCCTTAATGAATAAATTATTTTAAAACTAGAAATAAAATTTCGCGTCACCCTCGTCAATTCTGCTTTAATAGCTTTCTTCAAAAACTAATTACGTACAAATTATTTTTATATTTCTTCTATCTTTACGCAATTCACAGAATTTACAAGATAAACATCCAATAAAGAGTTGAAGAAAACCAATGATTGAGTTCGATGAATTTCATTAGATTTTAAAAATAGTTGAAAAGGAATATTTACTGAACAGCAGTAGCTAAGGTGAAAAATTGACTAAGTGTAATTGAAAGAATTTTTCGCTCCACATATGTCCCAATAATAATTGTTAAAGGGAGGTCAAACTTTTGAAGTATCGAAGTACTTTGAAGTTTCAAAGAAAATTTGCACACATTATTTCAAGCTGAATGAATTTGTGTGAACATACCTACGTATGATCGAAATTTCTGTTATTTTTATTTAAAATTTCTTTAATGTACATAAGTAGCGTTTCCAAACCATGCTTATTCAAATGGAAACTGAGAGTATGAATTATTTTTTCAATCGAGATGGTGACAGATAAGCAGTAGGGCTAGGATTAAGTGCAAGCAGACGTAAAAAAGGAATTTAAACCTTCTTAATTAAATCATTTCAGCATTTTCCTTTTAATCAAATAACGGAAAACATGCGCAATATTTTAAAAAAATCATCAAAGCCTGTCGAAAAATGTATTTAAATTTCATTTGAGGCAGCTTAATTGTCAGTTGTACAAGTGACATCTCATCAGATAGGTGTAGAATTTAACTCATAATTCACTGCATAAGTTAGTGATGTTAACAATAGTCGAAGTTTTATTTTATCAAGAATATTTTGGAAACGATATGAAGGGGTTTCTGTCGGTTTATAAGTGAAATTGACTATAATTGTAGGCCGGAGGAAACGCTTTTTTATCCAACCTTTCTCTCAAATTGCTTTGAAAACTTTGTTTATCACGTAAGTTAAGATTTTCTTACATTCAGTAATAAATCATTTTGATTTCTATTATTAAACACTTTTATTTATGAATCTACAACGATCCAGGAAGAAAACTTCAACCTTAATTGCATGTGTGACATTTGCAAAGAGTAATAAAAAATTGTTTAATTAGAATCAATATTTGTGAATGTTCACTCAGTGTTGAATAAATATTTGGTTCCTCAGGAATGTTAGCATTGTTCTAACATTTCTACTCATTTATCTTTAACATGTTCAACATTGAAGAGACATCAAATCGCAGAAAAGTTTTAATCATGACTTATGTCTAGTTTAATGTTGTGATGTTTCATGTGTAATCTACTTTAAGAAATTAATTCCTTTCCTACATATTTGACTAGAAGATACATAAATTTAATTTAATCACTGCTTATATTATTCGTGTGCCCGATATCAGAATGACCATCCATTTAATTGTACTTCGTTAAAGAATTTTGTGTTTTTGTGAGTGATCGTTAAAAAGTTGCTTCAAATATCTTTCTTTTTCGGCACGCGTCACTGTTCTATTGACCAAAGTAAATTGAATAAAAAGAGAACATCCGTATTTCAGTTACGACTCTTAATAGTGCCCAATTTAAAAATGTATTCATAAGACAATATTATTTATGGTGCTCGGTGTGACAGAACAACAAAACAAAAAGCCAACAAAATACTGTATGAAGAAATACGAAAGTAAGTATGAGAACTCGGAGAAGACTAAGAGAAGAAGTAAAGTTGAGCTACGTATTTCTACAGAGATGAGATGAGCAATATTGATATAAATGGTCAACAATTTATAAATTGTACATTTTACGACGAAGTTTGAGAGCAGATAATTAATTGAATTAAGCTCACAAAGGGAAATAATAAATTGTAGTCATTTTCTTGAAGCTCTTGTAGCAACAGATACAACATATTTAAATCGAGATTTTGAATCTGCTTTCATTTTATGAGTGATGAAGACTGGTTACAGTTTATATTGTAATTTGGAAGAAGTCTTAAGTGTTTCGAACAATATTAATGAATTTGATATAAAAACTCTTAAAATGTTTTCTTGTCAATTCAATTTTATTAAATAAATATTTAGTGTTACCATTATTAGTGATGTTTCTTTACCATTGAATATAAAAGTTTATTGATAAATTAAAAAAAAGTAAAATTTTTAATGTTATTTCTTTAAACGCACTTCCCATTATAAAGAGTTTACTTTTAGTCAATGAAAAATCGAGTTTGATGAACCATAAAATTGAGGGCGCTGCATAAGAAGCCAATTGGCTTATGAGTGAACTCATCGAAATATTTTTTATGAGAAGTCATTCAAATTTCGAAGATGGTTGTACTCAACTCATTTTTTGTTGAAGAAGATTCAATGAATCAAATAAGAATCTTTGACTTTTGTTAAATACTTAAGCAGTTGGATGTGCTTTATGCACAAAAGAATGGTCCGATGAAAAGAAAGATTCAAATATCTAACGCGTTCGTTTTGTTGTGATATATCTTCCACTAAATCGATCATTTCTTCTTTCCTTTGTTGTGTCTATTGTTGACAACTTCAATTCTCTAACCGAAAGGAGAATTTTACAAACGAACGAAAATGTTTTCATAGAATGAGAATTCCACTAATTATCTCGTGGTTTGAAGAAATTCATGATCAATCGTACAAAGGTGTATTAAGAAGAAGCTCTTTCAACTCATTCTTCACATTTAACTAACCATCGAGATCTCAAAAGGGGCATGATGAAAAGTTGAAATAATTGATGTTAAGTACACACAATTTACAAGAAACAAATCAAAAGCTTTTAAAATTCTCTCATTCTCTTCAAACCATTTCGGATCAGCACAAAGTGCTTCATCTCTTGTTGATGATTAATTATGATTGAAAGTTTTGTCTGAGCATTGATTATTTTGGAACTATTTTCACGCTTATTCGTTGATTGATTGAAGCTCAGCTTGCGCTCGACTGAGGATTATGTTGATATCTTGTACGCGTGGCATGTGAGATGAAAAATTGATTTAATAATAGACAGACTTACCAGCCTTTCACAACCATTTATTTCCAATATTTGGAAACATTAAATAGGAGTTTTTCATCTAAGTGGGAATAACTATGTTTTAATAACTATATTTGTGTACGCCATGGTTAGTATAATAAGATAACTAACTATTTGCTGACTGTATTGCTTAGACAACAACTTCTTCGCCTTTCTTGCTTTTCTTTATTAAAAAAAATTAGTTCTACACCTAATGAATTAAAATATGTTTTTTAATTTTCCATCCAAACAAAAAATTAAGTCAACTGCTTCATTCCGTTGATAAATTGTTCAACAGGTGCGCCGCGACCATTTTCTCTCGATTTCAGAGTGCGGTGATATTGCGAAGTGAACAAGTCTATAAATAATTCTTACCGCATTTTTTTGTCTTATAAGCAGTATCTAGACATGAACTTTGAAAATCATTTTATTGTTCAAAGATAAAAATGTTGGGGAGAAATGCAAAAAGAAAGAAAAATGAAAAATAAAACAAATTTTCGTCGTTTTTGTAAATTTGTAAGCCTTAAAGATTTACGGTCATTAATTAAGTTAATTTTATGATTTTATGATGAGTTCGTTCGGTAACCAATAAGAAAATTAAATCAGAGAAACAAATTAACTGGAAGAAAAGAGATTTTATTATTTTCTCATGTCGATGACAAGTATTTATGATTAACATTTCATTGTATTTAAATTTTTTGTTGTTAACTTTGACAAATTCGACTAACGTTATATTTGCCATCTCGCAATGATTTTCTACATATGGAGGCAATAAATAGTCAAGGAACAGAATGATAAAAAATAAAAATATGCATTGGAACGATAAGTGGCGTAGAATGATGAAAATATTTAAAAAGAGAATTCAATAAGAAGTTAACATTTGAATGAATGATGTTGTTAATATGCTTTGATTCCTTCACCAGACAGTTCATTCATTCAAAGATCAGAAACTTTGAGATCTAAATTCTTTTATTTGAAATTCAATTTTGATAGTTTGTCAGTTTGTAAAGAATAAACAAAAATAAGATCAGAAAAAGTTGAGTTTTCAATTTTATATTTTATTCTTCAACACCTTGAGTGACAGCTTTCACGCGACAAAAAAAAAGGCCAGAAAAGAGTCAGACTAATTCAAATAGTCTCGCTGAATACAGGTTAGTTGAGAATTCTTGAACTATTTATAAATATATGTCTTATACTTACAAAGTATCTAGTTAAGTTTAGATAAATATCTTTTTTTTTGTTCAAATTCTCTTTTTCATAACGATGACAAGTATAGGCACGTTCTTAATTTTAAATTGACTACTCGTAACGTTACTTATTGAAGAAAATTGATATAATTAAGCGTTTATGTTGGCAACTTTGATAGCTTTTTTCTTTTCTTTATGTTGTAGATTTCAACATACATTTTGATTGCAATCCAATCAGTTAAACGTTTTCGCAGCTACTCTATTACATGAATTTAGATCTTGAAGATAATTCGTAACATTGTATTTAGGAAAATGGTTTTGAGATTATTTATGATATCAACTCATAATAATGTTCATTATGCACTCACAAAGAAAACAAAATTTCTTGACAACTAAATGAAGCAAAAAAGATTCCTTAGAAGATTTAAGAAAGTTTTCCATCATTTATCAATTTATCATAAAAGTTCTTAGGTCATGAAATTTGAAACTTATTGAATATTGTATGATGTTGAAGTATTCAGTTCTTGTAATCTATTTATTAATTTAACATTAATTTTGTCAGTAAGAGAAACATTTATGTTCAGCATCTTTTATAACGTTTTCATAATTTAATATTTCAAAGTATCAACTCATCCTGACATCATTTAATATTCGCATGTAACGAAAATTAAATATCGAATTTCAATCGTTGTCGTCTTAGGATTTCTTTGCATGAGAACATAATTGTTCAGTTCCTTTATTCCCTAAAATACTACCATATTTTAATGAGAGAATTCTTTTGAAGTTAAATGTTTTATTCTTCAGAAAGCACACATGTAAAAGTGAAAAGATATCAAGGCGTAGACAACGTGTGTAAACGTAAAAAGCTATACATGCTGTAAGAAAGAACTGGAGAGAAAATACTTGTATTTAAAAGCGTCACTCAATCGGCGCACGCCATTCGATCCATATGTTTTTATGATTGCGAAATTTTCAATTTTTACGTTAACAATGTTGATTTTTTTTTATGAATTCAGGAAATAATCCACTTAAAATATTGAATAGCATAGTAAAATGTAACAAATCCCGAATCCAAGCTCCTGTTTTGGACATTATTATAAAAACTCTCCTCTGATATTCAATTGAATAACATGCGATTATAGAAAAAAAAACTTATGAATATTTTGTTTGTATTTTTTCCAATGTTTCTTGCTCGAAACGTCTTTCTCCTTTCCGATTCAAATGAGGCGCACTCGTTTATCCGTAACCAGTTTGATAGGGTGATAAATAAATGATACGGAACGTCAATTAAGTTCAAAACACTCGTATGAAGAGAGAAATTGGGAATTATTTTAATTTTTCTCCACAACGCTCTTATATATAGGTGCAGACAAAATATCTTCGTTTTTTTACAGATTTTTGTATTGAAGAGATGATGAAAACCAATGAAAACGAGTAAAGGAAATGAGTGACCAAATGCTTCCTTAAAATACTTCCGCACTTCTGTTTATTTATCATGATGAAAATATCTAACAAGAGTCTTATGGGCTTAAAATTTAAATTCAAAATTTAATTGACATAAAATTTCGATCGCTTGTATAATATTAATTGCATAAAAATTTGCAAGAAGGGTCTGTTCGGACATCATAAGACATACATGTTGTATATTTTAAATTTTCAGATTATTGGCAGGTTGAAATTTTTAATGGAATATAAAATAAATGTAGAAGAAATTGTGTATCAGTAAAATTTACTGCCTTTTTTCAAAACAGAATCTTGAGTAGCTCAAGAAGAAAAAAATGTAACACGTTTTAGAATTTTTTTATATAAAAGATTTTCGAAGGAGGCTCCGATCTCAATTGAGAAATGTCATAAATATTAATAATAATTATTTTTAGTTTTATTTTTATTTGTATAGAAACCTGTTGTTGTTGAAGAGATTTCAATAACAAGATACTCAAGCATATAACTAGAAAACATACAAACAAAAATGTTTATGATTGGCACGTGCCACAAATCTCAGTGAATTTTTATTAAATTGAATTTTGAAAGTTAAATTTTGAGTCTGTTAACACTCATCATTCAAATTATGTATCGTTGTTTACCCAGCGTAACTTAAAGCTTATCGTCGCTTTGGTTATTTTGTTTTTGCTTTATATGACTGATGTGTCTATGGTTTCAGCGTGTGCCTAAATTTCAAGAGTCGTTACTTCAGTCACTCGTTAACCTGTTTGGAGTATGACTGGTTTTTTGCGCTATCTCTCTATTTGGCTTAGTAGAAGTAAGTTATGAATGAGAAATGGTTTAAAATTAAACACCAATATCTACCAAGTTTGAGAAATTCAAATTATCATTTTAAGCTGACAAAATTTCAGTGTAATATCTCAAGAAATTAATTATTTGGAAAGGGGTGTAAAATCAGGAAATTATGATAAATTAACGATTAAAGATATCTAATTAGGTATACTAGAGATTAAAAAGATGAAAAATTGTTGAAGACATCTCTGGAAGATAAATTAAGAGAGATATGAAATTTTCTTAAAATTTAATTCGATATCTAGTGAAGAGAAGCAACGATTTTATTCTTTTACATATCTTTACGAAATTATTAAGAAGGCAAGCAAATATTAAGGTAGAGAAATAAAGAATGAAATGCTGTATGCTCAACAAATGTGGAGACAAATTTATGTGATTTCTGTTTTATTTTTGGTTTGCATTTTTTTACATGTTAGATATATGAAGGTTTCATTCTGGCAACTTAAGAAAACATGTTGAGAATTTTTCGAATAAATATGTATTAATAAATTTCGTTTCTTTGCTTATCAAAACGAAGAAAAAAAAGAAAGAAAATATTTTTCCAATTAAAAGTGTGCAAAATATATGCAACAGTTGACAAATTAAATTTTCTAAAGTTTTTCTCATAACCATCTGAAATCTTGAATTGAATAAGAAACGTGCAAGTTGGTAGCACATCAATGTTTATTGAGCTCACGATTTTGTGCTTTACGAAAGTAAAAAAAAATCATTCATAAAAAATAATTGATTCAGTTTTTCACTGTTGCCATCTTCTCCTTATAATGAGTTAAACTAAAATAAAAAAACCAACAATAAAATAAATTTACACAGAATTCCTTTCCTCAATAGACCTAAGGTATCTTGCGAGTAATTTCCAAATTCTCCACAGAACTAGTTCCGATTTGTGAGTCTTTAACTTCAAAGAAAGTTAAGAGATCATCTACATATTTATAACTCTTGTCCGTCGACATTATAGTTACCTCACATTTCTTCACAACACCAAATAAAAATATCTTTTGAGAAATCTAATGAATTCTTTCGCTTTTTAAAAGAGAATAAGGCAAGCCACATGTTTTCTTTGTGGCCATTTACTTAACAGATATGCAAAAGAACCGACGGTAAGTAATTTTCACTTACTCTTTATTGTATTTAATTCGAAGTGCTTCTTTTTTATAAGAATGAATAACGACGAAAACCAATATAGTTGTAAAATACTCAGTTAATTAACAGTTAAAGCCACCATGAAGAAGGTAAGGACCGCATTGAATGAGATTTATTTCTCACTTGACGCCGTAATCTCGTTGCTGACACATTATTTCCAAGAAATCGTTTCAATCCTTGCGTTTCAATCAACTTATGTTTCTTCTTGAAAAATTTAACTTCCAGTTTGAAGTTGAAAATAAATTATTTAAGCTCAATTTAAGTTCGATGGAAAGTCAAAATTAATGTTGGTAAATCTTCGAGATTGAAAATTGTCAATAAAAATTATAATTAATCATAGATTACTTAAATCTAAATTTTTATGTTTCTCTGAAACGTTTCAAGTTATATATATATATAAAAGTACGAATGCAAAATAATAATAAGTAGGTACTGTGGATTTGTTCTCTTATTTTAATTTAATCATGAGGATATTTTTGCTGCTGATGGGAAGCAAATAATAAAAGAGGAAAAATCATAAATCAGAATTAATTTGAACACTGATAACTCGTCCGAGATGCGGTGAAAATAACATATTCATGATAGAATTTAATTAATATTTCTTTCATTATTCATACATAATGGAATTTTCAAGAAAACGTTCTAGATTAAAATTCTCCCTCTCTTTGCATGGCGTTGTTGGCGGTATTAAGAAAAGTTGAGGTCGGTTGAGGCCATTTGCACGCCATAAATAAGGCAAGACGATAACTTCTCTTAAAATGCTTTTTCTTGTAATTCTCTGATCAAGCGAAAGCATGTCGCAATAATATTGGATTTTGCAGACCGATAGACTCGTAACTTATGAACGAAAATATAATGCATGAAGGTATTTAGAGTTGAATTCTATCTTGAGTTAGGAAGGAAAGAAACCGCACACAAAGAATGAAATCTAAAATAGTTCTCCACATTATATCAGAAGTCTTAATAAGATTAAGAATTGTGACTCAAAAAACTTATTAGGAACGCAAATTTCAAAGAATGTAGAATTTTTAAGTTATCCTAAATTAGTTTTCTTTCAACATCCCGCGAAATTCAATATCTTAGATCGAAATATAGACATCAGCTGTGATAATGTTACCGATTTGACATTCAGTGCATCTTTCAATTTATTTATATTGTTTCAAATTGAGAAGAATATATATTTCCGGAAATAAACTATTCCACAACCAGATTATTGCGGAAAAATTATTCCATGCCAGAAAATTGCGGATATATTTGAAATTTTTACCGTTATAAATATCAAAGTAAGAATTTAATCTTATGTTATTAAAATTAAATTCTTCATGATTTAATGATTAAGATAATAAATTATAATGCTAAATACATTATATTTTCACTTCTTATGACATTTCGTAATTAAAATTAAAATTTGCAAAATATTTTGTCACGCATTTAATTTTTAACGGTTAAAATTTTAAAAATCGTTCCGCAATTTTCTGCCCGCAATAATATAAACCTGGAATGTTTTTTTTGTAATTTTTTCATCTGGAAAAATATATTCTTCTCCATTCAGTTTGAATTCTGAT